CAATCGGGTAAGTATTGGTGGAGATAATAGCGTTTTTGAGATCCCGATGTGGAGACCCAATGACCAGCCTAACTCTATCTTCTACTAGCTCTTATAGTCTTTAATAGCGTGGTTATAAGACGTTTTAATGTTATTAGGCACGGGTAGAGCATGATAATAGCAATATTAGATAAAGAGTCTACATTCTACGTAGACGAACAGCTACTAAGCTAAGGTAGTATTCTTAGTGCTTATATCTACTTTAATAAGTTAGATAAAACTAAGGCTGGCTAAGAAGAGCTAGAGTGGCCGAGCTGAGTTTGGCCTGCTCATGGCCATGAACGGCCAAGCAATGAGCCGAATCTTGGCAACGATAACCCCTAAAATGAGCCGTTTCGCTCATGTACTTGTTTGAAAGATTGGCTCTGCTGGCTGAGGTAAAGTTGACTGCACATGACTTCACTTTTAAAGTTTGAGGTTGCTATAGGTGAGCTGTTATCCTTACCGGTCAGATATCGTCGCGTCGTCAGCTCATAGCTGGTCATGTGGTTATCATGGTTATTTGGATAATCTAATCAGCAGACGCTGGCGTACCAAAGCCCTTTCCAGCCATTCTGACAGAGATCATTAGTAACAACATCTCCTCTAACTGGTTATGGAAGACTTTGTTAAGCTAATGGTTGCTAAGCCGGTCATCCAGATAACTATCCATAACCATAAGTCTCGAACGGTCAGCGTTCCACAAAGCAGCGGAGCAAGAGCGCAGTTCACTGTCTGTGTAACTAACAATGCGGAGTCATGCATGATGGTACCTAGCTTATTCTGTTCCGGCCTGTGTCTGGATGCCACCACGTGCTGCTTAGTGAATCTTGACTGATAACGAGCCTGAATGGAGGACGAAAGTTAGCTTGGGCGGGGTTTCTCAACCGGATGGAATCCTCCATTTGGCTCTATCTACGGGAATGCGAGTCTTTCAGCCGCAGCTGAACAATAAATGCAGATTACACAAGCCCACCAACAACAAGCATGAACCTAACTTCCCTATTTTGAAAGAGTAAAGCTTTTTGCGTAACATTATTCAAACCTGACATTTATTCCGTTACTGTCGTGCAATATTGCTCAGACACATGAATTTTCATATCACTAGCAATTCTTCTCACGATTCAAAGACTATGGAGTCTGATATGGTTCCCAACTTTGAAGTCAAACTCCTCCTCAACCCCTCAGTGGTCCTTGGATCTGACGGCAAACTCAAGAATGATGTTTTGGCAGCCTTTACTATCTCAAGAGCACCAAGAAGATGAATGTCCAATTTGTAGACACAGTAAAGAAGGACATCTACAACAGCGGCTGGAACCTGCGCATTCGTAAGGAAGAGAACGTCGATAATATTGAGTTGACATATAAGAAGCGATACTTAGTCAATGAAGGAAATTCAGCCACCACCGAGGAAAGCACCAATGCAGCGCTCAACAAGGCCAAACAGGACGGATTCGACTCCACTATCTCCTACAATGCTCAAGTGGAGGTTGGATGCCAGAAGCATACCCTGTCTATCAGCCTGGATAAGAAGATACCCGACAGTGGGTCCTCAAAATTAGAGCTGCCCAAAGTACAAAAGTCGCGCGATGTCCTCATCAAGAAAGCCCCCGATATGTTCAAAGACTGGCAAGGCAAAAATTGGGGCATTCAGCGTCTCGAGAAGTCTATCATCTACGGATCAGTTCTTGCAAAGCGTTCCAAAGGTACTTTCGATCAGTTCACGCTATCCATTGAGGTGTGGCCAATCCGGAAGAGCAAAGAGGATGAGACACCAGCACCCATCGTCGAAGCTTCGTTCAAGGCGCCCGATTTGATAAAGGCGTTGGATGGGCGCGCCAAGCTTCAGGCTTTCCTGAAAGACAAAGACTGATTTCTTCCTAAAGATTCTTTAAAGACGGAGCACTTCGTGTCTTTGATGGATGGTCTTATTCGTGCGACTTGATGTACATAGGTAGTCATGCTGTCTGACGTCTTTGGAAGAGAGAAGTTACCTGTTCAACGTATAAATCTTTACCGCGGCGACGATAGCTCCAATGGACTAATTCGATCTGATAAACGCCATCAATACCAGGCCAAAGTGATGATTACCCAAGAAGGTGTTTAGGTAGATGATGTGTAGTGAGTGCTTTCTTCGATAGTATAAGCTCTACTTCCATGTAGTTTTCTGTTGACTTACGAATATATCTTGATAGCCGCTCACGGCACAATACTCTCCACTGGTCACGGTCATTACTCTGACGCATTTTTCTACTCTCATGGTCCCTCCCTATTGCGGCGAAGTACTGTTGTATTCCACTGCCAGATGTGTCTCCATTGAGTATCCTAAGGGCACCATTTTTGGTCGCCCATACATCCAATCACTTGATTGGCTGCTCATTGACTAGGCTTTCCATATTCGTGGCTGTGCATCATGGGTCAGGTTGAACCCCAGCTAGTTATACCCACTCAGAGGCCACCAGGATATGGCGATAATGTTTTACCGCCAGGTCCCATTTTTGGTTCCCTTCTCAAGTAGAGACGCAGGTTAACAAATATGATTTATTATCCGTATTTCTACCTTTTCCACCCCTTATTGTTAGACTATTGGCTAGGTTGTAGTACAGCACGAGGTGGATCAGATATATACTCATGCAAACAGTCGTATTAACACGAGACGGATCACTAGAGAGCTACTCTATTGGTCGTGGAGTATATATAGTCCTAGTGAGGCCTAGCGTCACGTGGATAAGCTGTCTAGGCCCGAATAGGGCTGGATTGGCCCGGCTTGGGCCAGATCCTGACAACACGTGGAGGTGTGTAGTCATGTGGAAAAAGGGATGGTGTGGTGCATAGCTATTGCTTGTTCTTGTTGCGGTGGTGGCTTGTTAATTCAGATCAGCTGAAGTTATTGCTTTTGTGGCCTTGCAAATGCTGCGACACCAGGTCTGATAGTTGGCGTTTTGTCAGCGATGTAATGTAGGGTACTAGGACGTAGGTTTGTGAGTGGGATAACTGATATAAACTTTATTACAGCTTACTGTAGCTTCGCTATCATAGAATAGGCTAGCTGCTGCGTTCAACCGGGCATCGAGCGTCTCTGTAGAGTGTTAATTGAGGTTGTGGACTGACTGGAACTGGGGGAGTTCCAAGATTCTTGATCCATTAATAGCACGGTCTGCCCAGTTTCAACCTGTGTTTTTGTCCAAGTGCCTTATTGAACCCCAAAAGCGCCCGCTCATACATCCGCATGGCGCCTACTAGCCTGCCTTCAGCTCCTTTGTAATACTTTAGTCAATTTTCAGATGGCACTAGGGCTTTCAGCTTGGGAGTGAGCCATGATTCTTCTTTTCAATAATAATGGTCAACCCCCTCAATGCACTGTTTTTTTAGGTCTGACGAGGTCTCCAGTTGTCAGCTCAGAATAGCATGTGATGTGGCTTGTTATTTTAGTTAACATATGTACGATATTTATATCAACTTACATTCACCTGTAGTGCTTATCAATATCTATATCGAAGAGCTTGTTAATGAAGGCAAATTTCAACACTTATACGGCCCTACACAGTCACAAGATGTCAGCAGATAACAACAAAGGTGAAGGCATTGCTCAGCCGGTAACTACTCTTGGAGATGGTTACAACTCTTTCCGCCAGTCTGCCATGCCCAGCCAGATACATGTGGGCAACATGAACCCGGTGTCAGCGAGTATTTCAACCAATGTGTATGTCTGCTTGACAATGGAACAAACACTCTCTGCACTCGATATGAGCGCCGGAATCGGCGCCAGCATTTCATGGGGCAGCTTCCAGGCCCGCAGGAATTGGGCCCATTCCATGCAGACAACAACTTCCTCCGTTACAATTCTAGTTGTGGCTTCCAAGATCACCGGTGGCAATTCTTTGGCTACAGCCATAGGCCCAGATCCCGCACCGACCGACGCACTGGACTTGTACACTCGCGGAGGTGATTCATATATCTCGTCAATCAGTATGGGAGGGCAGTCAATGGCGGCGTATAACTTTGTCGCATATAATGAATCCACTTACAACAGTGTCGTTGCTCAGGCAGACAGTGATTTTTCAGTTTGGGGCGGCAGCTTCGACGCTGATTTTGCAGTCAAGATCGACAACATCCGCCAGAGAACCAACACGACTTACAGCTTCAGACAGTCGGGGGTGGGCTTTTCGACAGCGTTACCGACACATGACACTTTCGTCAAGTGGGTACTTGGCTTCGGTAATCTCGAGCTGGACAGTCCAACAATCTTGGAATTCTCAACACAATCTTACTCCACCTTGAAGAGATGTCCAACGGACTTCGGGACAATCAATGACTACCGCCAACAATGGGATGGAGATAACGATATCGACCCGGCAAAGGGCCTGTCGAGTATTGTTGTGCAAGCGCAGTCTATCATCCAAATTATCAGAGACACAAGGCAGCTCTACGACTTTTACGGATGCTTGCCTGTTGACCCTAGGCTTACAACAACCAATGTCAGTCTTCAAAAGATCCTTGCACAATTACTTGACTGGCGAACAAAAGTCAGCAAGGCGCCAACAACGCCCGGTGTACCACTTCTAGTATACCAATCAACCGATCTCGAATATCCTGTGGCGCAGTGGGGCCTTGCCGTCTCGTCACCAGGTCCCTGGGTGTACACGAGCTAGTCCGATATCTCATTAGACATGATTACAAGACTCGTTCGGCCAGTCTCCATCACTGTTAGGTCTGGTGATTCAATCGACAACATTGATACCTGGTATTTCATGCAACTAGGTGATCAGCACGATTATTCGGTTGCACATGGCGGTGGCGGAGGAGACAAAAATGAGTCAATGGATCTCGGGCCAGGTGACACCTTCCTCTCAGGCTTCTCTGAGTGGTGGTGGGGAGATGACTCTCTCAAGAGCATCAAGATCGCCACCGTGTCTAACCCGGGTGGTAAGATTATGGGCAGGGGAGATACCAGCATATGGAGGGGATACACTAGGAGAGCCAATACCTGCTGTGTCGGCTTCGCTGGAGCGAGTGACGACTATCTTCGCTCTCTGGCGATCCAATACGTCAAATTTCTGCCCTGCTCCTGGCGCAATCCTTCTTCAGTGTACATTGGATCTAATCGTCCTCGCCTTGGGCACCCCGTTCGCGAAACCGTCGACATTAAGCGTTTCGTTAAAGACTTCCTCGTCGCAAGATGGCCCATAGATCAACAGATCTACCAGCAGAAGGGCGGCTGGGAAGGTTGGCTCCAGGTCGAGCTGGCAAATAAGTGGCTCAATGATTACGGCTATACTTGGAAACCTGAACGCGAGAGACACGTCTACGCAAACCTCCCAAGTGCCGCCGCAGATCTAACTCCCACGAAAGCATCTTCCATCTCGCATGTCATTGAGTTGAAGACAGGAGGAGAATACCGTGATGACGCCAATGGTAACAACCTCTTCAGCAGCATCGCGGATGACATCCGAAAGATCGCGACAGGCGGCGTCATAGCTGATCTGGGCCGCACTGTACTCTTCACTATTGGGGTTTGCGTTAGACAAGATATTGCCACAAAATATGGTGCGAATTACGCGTGGGCTACAGCGTATCCGCGTCCACAGATGGCGCGTGTCCCAATGACGGAAACCCCGGGCCCGGATGGGACGTGGAACTTCGAGTTGTATATGTGGATTGCGAAGTATCAAAACTACACCGAGGATGGGAAGCTGTTTGATCATTTTGTTCCCATTCCTATTTCAGACTCTGATGGATTTGCAGAGAAGTCATAAGTTCAACGAAGGAGCTTTCTTTTGTAGTGTTCGGCGCACGCTAATATCAAGCTATCATTCTATAAATCTTGCGGACTGTCAATATGGGTAGTGATCAACTGACTATTATGGGCTGATTCAATAAAGTGATCTTGAACAACAGCATAGTTATAAAAGCAATAACCCAATACTGGGAATTTTGGAGAGAAAAAAGGGTGATTTCCTAGTCTAATTTCAACTTTTAATTTGAACTATATATAAGCAATGTTAGCCGCAGCGGGGATGGCGATAGCGCCGCGTTGAATGCGGATAAGAAAGATATCCCGAACCTTGAAATTGGCCCATAATTAATTACATGGAATGTTCAAAGAAGCAGCGTTGTTATTACATGGATCACAGACGCACTAATGGCTCGGACCACAGTCGGCCTAAACAAAAGCTTGTCCTCTCCACTTCTTATGCAAATCCTCTCAACCTCCCCTTGTGTATCGTTTTTTTTTTTCGCCAAAAGCAATGAACACCTCCAAATGTGCAGCACTTGCGACTGATTATTAACGCCATGGCATGCTACTGCCAATACCTTTATCGTATACGCCGAACGCCGAACGCCGAAATGCGAGTAGATCTGAAAGAGATGGACCGTGGGGACTGCGGATGTGCCAGGAGAGGTACGCCGGCGCATGGCGACTGCAGATATTAGCAAATAATCTTGCATTGCGATGGAGTAAAGACATACTTGAAGTCTCAGGACATATAACGCGAAGCTTCATGGCAGGCATGCTCTAATGGGGCAGTCTGCACACGCGCCATCCGTTTCAGAGCCGGCCGATGCCAATCCTTTTCCGTGACCCAGCTCAGGTCTGCGACCTTTGGTATAGAAACCGAGAGGTCACGATCGCCAGTGTCGGCATTTGCGGGAGCAGATATCTCGACATAACTACCGACTCGCATACGTGTGGCAAGGTCAATCTCGTCCACCTTCAAGTCTGACGCGACGCTTGTACCACAAGACACGTCTTCGAGTGCGCACTTGGAGGGCAAATGGAAACCCTCGATGTGGCAGTCGTCCAGGATCTGGCACTGAGGTGCAGAACCGTGCAATACTCCTGGTGTATGAGCCCCAGATGGTGCGTAATCACTGCTCGACGAGCTTGAGAGGTCAGGCACATTGGCAGACCATTGGGGAATGCTCCAGTGTAGGCCATGTGGCTGCTGAGGCATCTGGTGCTGTGACCATTGCGTCCGCGGTGTGTTGAAGCCTGCCCAATCTGCATGGTAGCAGTTGATCTCGCTGTATGGTGTCGGGGAGGCCGCACTGTAACTCCCGAAACTTGAAAGCGGTGCGTAATAGTTGTGCGTCGTAAGAGGAACTGAGGCCGGGAAGACTGCGCCCGGAGCCTGCTGGTACCAGGTGAGCGGCTGCTGACTATACGCAATGCTCGGCGAAGCGCCGTGTCTGGAGAGCCTTTCACGCTGTTTTCTTGCCTCGTCCTCTTTAGCTCTCCCCCGTTGCTTCGCTTGGTATAACCGCCTTCGTTGCTTGCGCGTCGGTCTGGGGGGCAGTTCTTGGGCAGCAACGGGCATGACAGTAGGCGCGGCGACGAGCTCGGGCGATACGGGCGGTCGTGATACGTGGGCTACATGGGAGATGTCTCCAATCTTGGTCAGTCAATCGCTGTGATTCATGTGGTCACACACGTACCTGGAGGCAGACGGCTGGTAGAAGGCGCTGTTGTTGGTTCCTCAAGGCAGCGCTGCTTCAGCGACAGCAGGAGTGCAGTTACAAAGGTGGCAGCGATGTAGCGTAGCACTGTTCGTGGCGATGTCGGGAGCTGTTGAAGCGCCGAGATGTGCTCGATGGCGACTTGCACTGAAGTCCAGCAACACCATGATGCATACAACATCATAGCCACAGTCTGCAGCGATGACGGCATGGTGTCTCGGTGCAAAGGCTCCCCAGCCTTTGCGCCTTGAGTATGCTAAAAGCGGTGGTTCGTGGAAAGGAGAGGCGGCGTGAGGTCCATAGACGGGCGGCAGCCCTTGGTGGGGACTTTTGTGAGCACGCTCCCAGGCACGCAAGTGGGATGGGGTGTGTTGCATACCTTCAGACTCTCAGATACGGGCCTGATGCCTTGGAGGGTGTACCGAAGCTACAGATGGCGATTGCAGCGTAGGAGAAGCGTCAGTTGTAGTAATGGTGGATAAAGAGGCGGATAGTCACACACGCCCAGGGTCTGCTAGGTATGATGGCATCGGCGGCACACCAGTTTCCGCAGCGGCGGGCGCACTACGACTACCTAGTCCTAGTACGTGCGTAGCTACAGGCACGCTAAGTTCCTCGGGTCGGGGTCGTGCATGGATACCTACTAGCTGCAAAGCGCAAAGCGAAAACCCTCCATGTTGGACTGAGCAATCATCATCATATCCAGCTGACCAAGTATCCATATACCTTCGAGGTACGACTCCAACCAACAATTCATCCGCAGGCCGGCTTGTCATGTGTAATTCAAACCCAACCCTAGCCCTCATTCAACCAAATCGACAACAACAACAACAACAACAACAACAACAACAACAACAACTAAACAATCTCTCTGGTAGCATTACATCCTCGGACGCATATGTATGTATACTCACCGAAATAGTCCCAACAAAGGGGAGTGCTCACGTGCGCAATCTGACCCTGTTCGCACCACCAGTATGGTTGACATAAGCGGGCTTTTGATTCAAACTGCGGCATAGTGCCTTGCACGCCATCTCTCCATATGACTTCGATTCAACAACTGCCACAGTTTCTCCATTGTCACATCTCATCATCTTCCTGCCTTGGTATTCGCATTGCCACGCACTGCTTTGCCCGCATGCCCAGCGCCCACATGAGGCCAACATTAACCATGGACGGCAGAGCGACAGCGAGCCGCTCCACCGAGCTTACCTTGAGCACGTTCCAAGCGCTTTCCAACATAACAATCGCAATACAGGATGCGCCCGCCATCGCTATCGGCCTTGGCGCTCGGCGGTAAGCCTGTCCACACGATACCGCATACCCAGTCGAGCATGCTACAATGAGACCAACCAAGGCTATGCCTGGCAGCTCACCCAAAGGTGATATGACAGTCTGGCTTGCTTTAGTCTCTCTTCTTCTCTTCCCGCATTCATGGTACTTACCTCCTGCCATCTGGCCAAGATGACGTTCTCGCTTCGTTCGGGCTGTAATGCTAACTGCGTCGAGCTCAACGCAGTACCGCAAACCCACAGTCCGAGCCCGCAGTACAAATCCACCACAATATCGGCTCGAGATTGGCTGCCAGTAGGCTGTGTTCTTACTGCTTCGCAGTCTCTGGAAGCGTTGTTTTGGCTCTTCGCCATCTTGTTGCACACCTGCAAATCAGCATCAACACATAAATCCCTCATTAAACTCACTAGTAGCATGTCTTCGCGATCCGAGGCACTGATGCTGCTCAGCGTCTTCCGTCTGTCTGCTCATAAAGATTTTGCGAGTGGCTGTGCAATCAGGCAAAGAGGCGCCAGTATCGTGCCACACAGCTCAGGCTGATGATGGTCAGTCCGATGCGCTTTCTGAAGCAAGCTATAGACGACAAGGCAGCAGCAACGACTATGCGGTAGGGTCTAGTTTCAAATGGGCGTCAAGTTTTCCTGAGATTCCTGATGACATGGGGGCTAATGGAAGTGTGAAGGTGTGAAGGACCTCGAGGCTGAGTATCCATGACTATGAGGGGCAGCTGAACAGGTTGACCGACTGCTGTGGCTTGTGGCCGCCTCTAACGTCCTGAATGACTTAGGCTTGCCTTGGCTCGTCCTAGAATGCCTTGCTATTCGCCTACGCTGCTTGTCCTTTGCCAACACAGCCCCTCAAAGCATCGTCAACTCAGCCACCCACCACCCCCTCTCTTCCCCAACCAGTCCTCTCTTCCATGTCCTTTCCGTTCCCTCTTATACTTTCTCTTTCCATCTTTTCCCTGCGTCTTGCGCATGGGAGAGCCTTCGCTCACGATTTGCTAGGCTTCTTGTCTCCAACCCTCGACTCAGCTTACCAGACCTGAACCCCAGGTCGACCGTGGAATACAGTCAGACCGTCTTTGTCACGCACGTTCGTCGGGAATGAGCACATCACCCTCAAGCATGGCCGGGTCGAACGTCCCGACCGTGAGGGTACCATGCACACCCCGGATCATCCAAGACATATCACTCACTTTCATGCTTGCAAGCTCAATGTGGATTTTCTTCATCGGCTCGACCATCAAGAGCGATAATCCTTCGTTTCGCGACATTCGTCGGGTGCCATTGTCCATGATTCAAAACATGTATGTGAGAGACCCATGGGTGTGGCTGTTCACGCCATGCCAGTCTGACTTTCTTTCCGTCACGTGTTAATCATTTATAGATCTATCGGCGTGTGGTTCTTTAGTGGCACTATCTATACGGGCATCACATTGTACTACGCTCGAAGCCGCCCTTTGTAAGCCATCTCTTCGCTCGCACGAGACTCAGCGCTAACGGTTTCTAGCTGGTCTTTGGCTACTCTAATAATTATTCTCCTCATGACGGCCTTCTTCACTGCGTATCTCGGTTTCGACCCTATGGATTGGTCGACATGGGGCCCATTCGCGGTGGTTCTGGGTATCGTCGTCAAAGTCGGTATCTACCATACGTACAACAGCGCTGATCGCGGTCTGCTGCGGCGATCTCTGGATTACCTAATGGGCCATGTCGAAGAAGACAACGACATACACAACAACGATGATGGCGGTCATACCTATAATCGGCCACACGAACAAGAGCTGGACGACTTCTCGCGCCGCCCCTTCGCTATTCCACGGGCATAGTCACTAGCAGCCCGAACACAAGGGCTCACCAACGCGTCAACACACAAGTCTTCTCACCTTCCAGTCAGAGCATAGCATAGCGTTCGCACGAAAAGTAGCATTTCTCGTCCTCAATGGCGCTCTCAACTTGTACGACACTTTTATTCTTTTTTTTCCTAGTGCGGATCTGTTCTTTTGTTTACAGGGGCAAGTAGATGGGCCCCATGCACTATTGGAGCCGCCCTCCAATGTAAGTGTAATTTGTATCCGAGCACGCCACCAGCCGCCCTGCTTAGGACGGCAGCTCAGTGGCTTGTTGTTATACCCAGGCTTCCTGGAGGCTTTGCCCCTTGGGATAGTCATTGTATATAGCGTATCACTAGTCGTATCGCAAATATGTCTATTGTCTAAACGTCTTTGAGCCCGCGATTTGGCTTCACCTAATGAGCATCACATTACTCCTCTGCACTGACCATTGATGGTGCGTCCTGTGTAGACTTGCTTGGCATCTAGACGTGAATACAAGGGTATACGCGTCGCTCACTGAACACAAGCAGAGAAGAGTTTGTGCTACATGAGATGTCTATTTGCACAAAGCATTTGCCGGTTGCACCTATGGCTCTATAGAGAAGGGACTCTGCGCTAAGATGCTTGCTACCCAAGACTAGGTATAATCTGAACCACCGCCGCTTATGAACATCACTCCGTCCGCCCTCATCCAGAAAAACAATCTTGCTCTTGAACAACCCATACACCAGTGACGCGAAAACACCACCACGATCCATTCCCATGTGTTTCCATCAAAGTCGTTCCCCACCAAATGTCCTCCATCATCAAAGCGAGCGTCGCAAGCCGTTCGGTGTGTGTGTGAAGTGGGCGGTGGCCCAAGAAGTGCCAGGTCGTCAGGAACTTTCTTGCGCTCGGTGACCTGGGCTGTTGTCAGCGATTGTGCATTTCCGAAAGAGCTGGGAGCAAGCGTCAACGTACGAAATCAGAGTTTGAGTGATACTTTGTCAGCGGGAATGTATCAGCACGCCCAAGCCCTACTGATATGCTGCACTCCAGCGTCAATATCGCCACGATGTCCACATCCAACTCGCCAGCCTAGTCTCGATTGCCAGATCGTCCCGATCTCCATCTCGACACCAGTAGTCTGGATGGCAGGACAAGCTTCCGAAAGGGTCAGGCTCTAGCCCGGCAGAATTGCCACTACGCCCAAGCTGTCGTAACTTGCTTCTGACGAGCACGTACCAGCTGGTCAGCCAAACTGAGTGCCCATATAATCAAAGATCTCGGGAGGGAATGGATAGGAAGTGTATTTTATTCAGTAAGCTCACTCGCGTGAGCGATCGGCGAAGGAGGGTCTATCGACTGAAAACTAGCGGACTCCGTCTAAGTGAGATCACTCGACACTTCCCTACGAATGACAGTGCCTTTGCGCATATGCGGCGTGGTGAAGCGCGCTTCCTATGATCTGAAAAGGCCTTGAGACCGCATTCCTTCCACGATTCGCGTACTCATGCGTCGCTGCACTATCGTGCGTAGTCCCTCGCGCCAACGGTGGGACACGATACGCGAGGCTACCAGCGACGTGATGCTGTCCAGAATAGAACCGGTTGTCTCGCATCCGAAACCGCGGATCTTTCACCCCTTGGAAATACAGTCTCCCATTCACTAAAGTGTGGATGTATTGTGCAATAAATCTCGTGGTGCTAACCTCTGGCCTTGCGCCAGTCAATGTTGCATCCGCCACTCTTCTCGCGCGGAGCTCACAGTGGCATTCTCTCGTGTGCGGTCGAATTCGATGTGAGCAAGGACGTGCTGCGTTGTGTATCGCCCTTGGATTCGGCAACCATGACAGGCAGTCGATTTCTGTAGGGCCAAAGGCTCTGGATGCATCGCCCGCGCGCTACTAAGGGCCGAAGCTGACGCCGTACGCTTCATGTTAGTTAGGTAGCAGCTTTGATTATTACGGGCCGCTGGGCTAAAGTGGGGCAGATACCCAGCGCAACAGCGGAAACAGAGGAACGATATCGCTATGGAGCGTCCGGAACACAACCCTGCTAGATCTGGCGTTGGGTAAAGCTCACAAGCAAAGTGACTAGCCTGAAAGATGGATCCTGGCTCTACTTTGCAACAATCTGGAGACACTGCATCCAAATGGCTCAAGGCTGGCGGCTCGGCGTATCTCATATCGAGCACATCGCTACAATTTTGTCAAACACTGTTGCGCCACACCACAGGGTAGCACAATTTGGACTGGGAACCAAAGCTCGTCTTCCATCATATAGTCAAGCAAAAGCATGTTGCTTCGATTTAACACCGCCTCTTCGAAATCATCCTTGACAATATGCGAAAGCACTTGGACAATCAATCGCTTTATCCATGGAAAACGTATCTGTGCAGTTTATAGAGCCACTTCGATGATTGGGTTGCGTATATATCTCTGTGCGAAGTCCAATCTCGTCTTTCAGACTGTGCTAGTAGCAACAGGTTTGGCCCCAGGCCTTGATGTGAATAATGCCCAAGTCAAACCCGCATTGACTGCGATAGGCAATATGATCATGAGTCTCTCGAGCGGGCCAACTTTCAATCCGTTCGGCAGACTGTCGATAAGCACGAGAACGATGCATGCAGCGGCTGCTATCGTAGAGCGACTCCTCGCTCTGCTGTAGGCATGCATGCACGACGTCGAGTATCCTAAAGTGCAGAGCGCGATGCCACCAAGCAACACCCCAGCCGGCAAACTCTTTATTGAATCACCCACGGCCTTTTCTTCTTAGTTAGTATTGTTTCTCAGCCCAGTTTGCTGCACTTACACTCTGCCATCCTCTCAGTAAAACATTTTGGGTCTCGTCAGGTTGCAGACCCAACTGGACTGTACTCAGTGCCCCGCCACAAATCCACAGTTTTGCTATGCAAATGATGTCGACTATTATCCCTGTGCTGGTACTCAACAACCCGGCTTCTGGTGTGGTGTCGATAAGGCAGTAGGGAGTAATAGGGCCATGCTTTTCCATCGTTGAGTTGATCTAGTACATCTTAGCCGTTTTCATAGTATTATGTTAAGGGGGCGTACCCGCATCAATCTCATCTTATACAACCAGTTTCAAAAGCTCCAGTCTCGAGGTCCTATATAGATGCTCTTCACCTAAGTAGTCGCTTTCGTGGTGGCTGTGCAGTAGGCTGTGCAGGTTCAGCTGGCCCCACTCGGGTCGCAACACCTGCAGGATAAGTTGCGCACGAGGACGCCACGAAACACCTTGAAGATAGCATAGTAGCTCTAAATCGGCGATGCGAAATGTTGTCGAGGGTAGGCGCTCCGATGGCTGGTTAATGCGCTCGAGAAAGTCAACATGTATATTGTGAAGGCTCTGCGTTGCCAAGTTGGGCTTTAGAAATCTTGATCAGCTGCAGCCTACTTTGATAGCACCATACGTCAGCCCCTTCTCGAAACTTGGTAATCTCGAGCTTACTGTCACGAAGTACTGGGCGCGTCACTTCCAGCACCAAAATGGTCGTCTTTCCTCCTTCTTGGCTGGGATACCGGGGAGGAGACCACCTGAAGTAATAGATATAACAATGGGTTGAATTCCATTATTATACTTATTATGGTTAACTTAGCAAACTACTCTCTTACATATAGACTTTATTGTATAATCTAGCTTCGGCTAGTATATTTGGCTATAGTTCTACCATCTACTCCCAACGTAAGAATTCATGAATTATCGTAGGGACGAATTTGCGGGTCAAAACAATAGCATTCCTGCTTGAATACAGTATAGTGAGCGACTTTGACTGCTCCAAATGAAGACCAAGACAATACAGGGATAGACACACTAATTGGCCGTACTTAACACGCACTTAGCACGTGCATGAGACAAGAAAAGGATCCCCTGGGCAACAGGTGTTGCATGGAGTGCAGTCATATTTGCAACGGATTCCTATGTTCTTGTCGCAGCATTCGTTGTAACAATCATCATTTGAGTGGCAGGCGGGTGAAATACTATTCTAATGAGCTACCCGTTTGTGAGAACTTGTGCTTTTGTCCGGTATATACACGCCGGCACCACATCTATTCCTGTCACCCTGCTTTCACTCTCGCACAATTAATTTGCAACGCATGACTTAGCGCACCAAAGTTCACGCTCGATACTTGGCGTTCGACCATACCGTTCCGTGTACCGCTGGCCCCCACAGTCATACAGGCTTACGTGCACGGGTCAGTTCCATCTTCAAAACCGCATTACTCAAAAACCAACTTGTCCCACAGCTCATTCGAATACCTGCTCTTCAACTGATCTAGCGTCCACCCGTGCTTCTTCCCAATGGACGCCAAAGCGTTTCGAAACTGCGGAATCTGCTCCTTGTACGCCACCTCTTTCATGTACTTCCTAGCCTCGATGCCCTTGAAAGAGAACTGCTCCCACTCCTTCGCCCAATGCGGTCGCACGTTGCCGCCGTAGCTCATCCATAAATTGACGACTTTTTGCGCAAAACCCTGCCACTCATTGTCCGTGACTGCGTCGGGGAGCGTGAGGATCTCGATGGACAGCGTACCGAGGTCGTTGCCCTTTTGCGGCGCCATGAGCACATCGCTGCCGCCCATGATGCGCATTTCGAGCGTGAGACGCATCGGAGAAGAAGGATCGCCCTTATTCTCGGCGTCCTGGTAGACGAGCTTGATGACGTCCCACCAGGCTCGCTGAATGATGCTGAAGTCGGGCTTTGTCGGGTCGTCCGAGCGGGCGGGCAGCGGGAGCTGCATTTCGAGGTCGCGCACGCGCATGTTCTGGACACCACGGCGGAAATGGAGAGCGTTGGGAAGCAGGGTCTTGTAGGTTGGGGTTCTGGATTCGCCCAGCGTAGGTGGCAACGCAGCCATACCTAGAGATGCAATGAGCTGGGTCTGCCAGTATCCTGGAATCGCGTTGAAGAAGGGAATAGTGGTGATGACACCTCCCAGCCAGCCTTGGACCCACTGCAAAAAGACATTGGCGTCATCTGGGTAATTGGTGGCTCCGGCAGGGTCGGCGGTAGTGTTGAAGGTGTTTGTCCAGACTTTCCTCTGATAGGTGAACCAAAACCATCTGCAATCGTGAGTTGATTATACTAACTGAAGATTCATGCGTACTTACTCGCTATAATAGTCGTTTGCTACCCTCCTCTCGAATTCCGTAGTGGCAGCTGCTATCTGCTTCTCCGCGTCAGGTGCGTCATACCAGTCACTCCTGAGCGCAACGGGGATGTCGCTCTTGTCTAGGGGTGGAACGCCGAGACCGACGTCTTCCTTGAGTGGTTTCTACTCTGCATCAGCCTAGTATTAGAGTCCACAGGGGTCAAGGCCTTACCATGACTGCATAGGTCATCGCGTCAAGCTCAAAGGTGATGTGGGTAACGACACCGAGCAGACCAAACGCACCAGCAGCCGCTTTGAGTTCCTCCACATCGTCCACCATCTTCAGGTTGCCATTACAATCGACGTATTCGACGCGACGGACATAGTCCGAGAGTGTCTTGTGTGAAATGCCAGCCCCGTGGCAAATGGGACCATTGACACCACCAATGGTAACCTACGGACCGTCAGTAAGAGATTGCGAAGAATGGCTCGGCCAGCTCGTATGTATCTGAACGCGTAGATACAAGCTCGTGGAACGTAGCTTGGCATCATATAACATATTGAAGCAATTCAATTTTGCTCCGTGGTGCTTTACTTACTTCGACCAAGATGACATCAACCGGAAACGTCCACGCCTTGCCCCCCACACTCCAGCGGCGAAACTCTTCATTCGTGACTGCCACGCCAATACGGCAAAGCCTTTTTTTGCCGGGCACAGTCTCTTCTTTCAAATCGATGCTCTTGAGCTCTGGAATAGTGGCAGGGTTATACTCTCCCGGGATAATCGACATTGGATCCGGAAGCGTCGTCACCGTGTGCAAATTCACAAACGAAATGAAGATCTCGTTGTCCTGGGAGAAAATGGAGCTCCAGCTGTGCCGGTACCCTGCGCATCGCACGCGGAAGTTGTTCTTGATCGCGAACTGCACTACGTTCTGCACCCCGTGCACCGTCAAAGGGAGAAAGGTGTACTTGGGCTGGTTGTGCACAGTTGATCCCCAGTTCTCAAAAGGCACCTCACTGTAACACTTGCGGAACATCAGCATGCCTTCGCGGTCGCAGTCTCAATTGGTACCTACCTCGACGACCTTGCTGCTCGCGGCATCTTCGTACACGATGGGAAGGTCTTTGACATGTTTGTGTTTGGGGTGCAGCACGTCCTTGACAGCGTCGTTGAGTCCGACGACGCCTAGCATCAACTTCTTTAGCTCAGCGAGAAGAGAGAAATGGTGGTGCACGGGCGGGCTTTTGTGCGCGAGGAGGTGGAAACCGTCTGTTCCAACAACATCTTTTGCGCCTTTTCCGTCGATGAACTTCTCAATCTGGTCCTTGAGTTCCTGGCTCTCAATCTGAGAGAACGCACTCTTATAGGCAGGAGTGTGTCTGAACGTCTTTAAGAACCCGCGAATTTGGGTCTCCGGGTCGAATGTTTCGGCCAATACAGGCCTTAGGACGTCTTGCTTGAGGGAATCGTAGTCGACCTTGTCGAATTCGGAAGAGTAGGCGTCGACATCTCGGAGAATCTGCTGCAAAATGTGTGTGCGTTCGAGATGCTCCGTGCGGAGAGAGGGCTTAGGGACCGAACTCATTCTGGCTTGTGCAAGGCCGTATGATGAGGGCAATCGCCGCGAGAGCTAGACTACGGATGGCTTGGAGATGGCCAAATCGGGGTTACTATTAGTTCGCTTAGTTGGGCTGGGTATACTTCAAAACCCAGCGGCCAGTCAATTCTATCAGTGTATTGATATATGGAGTGATGGGAGGGTATGCTCGGAGCCGCTTTCATCACTCAATTAGAATTGCGCTCGTCTTATGTACAGATTGAGAGGACCTCGACTTCCGAGAAGATCCACTCGGTCCGAACACGTGACAACACCCTTTCGAGCGCAACCGGACGCCTGCTTCTAGGCAGCTGAAATCTGATCGACACCTGTAATCATAGCTGAGAGGTCAGACCTCGCAGTATATGATCACTTGCGCCGGAGCCCTCGCCGAATTGTCTGGTTCTGGCGATGCTGAGAGCCACACGGTCCTTAGTTCCAAAGGAACTGCGTTGCAGTGGATGATTTTTCGTTGTTGGGCTGAGACTCTCCAGCACGGAAAGCTGAGGACCAGCGTCGGCTGACATGCAGTCAGCTGGAGAAGCGGGTGGCCATAACAATAAAATCCCAGCGGCTGCTATTGGATGGCCAAACCAATGTTGGGTTTGGTCGCATTCGCACGTGAGAGTGGTTGATATTGGAAACGATGCGAGATGGTGAGGTGATGTTGTACAAGAATAAGAGGCGCGCGTCGAGACGCGTCACTCGCTACTGCAGGTGCGCAAAGTTTCACTGACACGCTTGTAGCTGAATGGTTGACAGTTGTTTCGTCCAGTCCAATTTCTCTCCAAAATTTTCGGTATTTGGTTCTCACTTCCTTGTTGATTAATTTGACATGGAGCTTATGGTCGCTGCGCAGATTCTCGACGAAGCTCAGAACTTCTCTTGACAATATCCCATGTTGGAGTTCCCTAGCGTGGAGTTTGTTTTGAAAGCGGACTGCTTTATTGATATGCAGCTCTGGATTCGGCGCGATTAATTATGCAATTCCTATACTTTGGCGGTGACTATCGCCAATACGAGGTCATGTCTCCCACTACTTATAGTGGCACAGAGCTGGAACGGATGTTGGGCGAGGAAATTCCGCATGCGATCAAGTCCTTGACACACATATTTATAGATAAGGACTGTGCAGGCTTCGAGCGCCAAGGAGCCCGTGTACAAGAAAGTTTTTCCTTCGTCGAGAGTCATAATCTGCGTGCGCATGTGGCAGGTCATATCAGTGCCAGAACTTCCTACCACGTTCTCATACTCAGTTGGGAAGACTATGCGCTTGTCGCCTCCAGATACAACGCTTTGAACGATTTTACACACAGGGTTGATGGCTTTTCCTGTAAAAGTTTCATGGGCGAGGACTCCATTGCGCGTCGCTAGCTGTTCGAGATGGGCGTGAAAGTGCAAGTCGCTTTCTAACATGACTTCACCACACTCACGTGTGCAACAGCCTGCAATATACTAATCGCAATATCTCACGGGTTGAATATTATATTTCAACCACGCACCATCTTTTGCTGCATCTACTGGGCGAGTTAATACAGTGTAGCGTTGGTGGCGCGTTCAAAGTGGTGGTTGGCGAGGCGAAATTTTTGGCGAGTACTTTAGGTACCTTATCATGCGCATCTCCCCCGCATGCTACTCAGCCGAGCTCGTAACCCTATGTGCTTACATACCCAGCTATCCCTCAGCCCTTCCATCTAATTGCGCAAAGCCAAATCATGTTCAACCCGTACGCACGCGCAGCTATTCGGCAGTTGGACGATGGTGTTTCGGACGGGGATCTATGTGTGCCCTGTCAGAAATCATTTGATGATGGCGAGCTTGCGGGCTTCGCTCGCATTGGTACTCCAACCTGGTTGAACGACGGCTACAAAGAATATGAAGATTACGAAAACCTCACCGAACCTATCCTTTATTGCGACTGTTGCAAGCATATTCTTCGGAACAGGGAGTTTCAGAGAAAACAAGGAAGACCGCAAGATGCACCCCCGATTTCACAGAACTTTGCTGGCGAGTTTGATGGTTTCCTATCGAGTGTTTTCCTCCATGACGACGACCTTGATCTGAAGAAGCACGAAGCCTCATTGGACGGTTTTAGTGTCGAAAAATCTGAATACAGCCGTACAGTGAAGCATCATTGGGCAGATGTAGAGATGATCAAGAGTTGGCTCTACGATTGCGAAAACGATCACGGTAGTGTGTGCAACGAACATCGACAGTCTATTCCCGAGACTGAATCGCTTCTTCTCTTGGATGTAGTGGATGACTGCCTGGTCGTCGGCAACTTTAGCCATCGATACTTTGCTTTGAGTTACGTTTGGGGTGACTCGAAGCAGTTCTTGACCCTGGTGGAGAATTACGATCAATTGCGCAAACCTGGAAGTGTATCAACGCAGCGATTGACTCAGACAATCAGGGACTCCATGAAGTTTGTCAAGAGTCTAGGTGAGCGATACTTGTGGATCGACACAATGGTAAGTTGGCTCACTACAGCTTGTTGTCAACAGACCTGAACTCATGTCAAACAGTGTATCATCCAAGACGATGCCGCCAACAAAGCAAATGCCCTCGCCCAAATGTGTTCGATCTACAGTTGCGCAGTGGCTACGATTGTAGCCCTAAGCGGAGATTCTGCCGATGCTGGCCTTCCAGGCGTTCCACCCACGGCTCGCAACACTACTGCAACTTTTATAGAACTGGGACTGCACCTGGTCGAACGATCATTTTTTGAGCGCATGCTGAGTAATCACGAATACGATTATGTGGATGGAGAATGTGTCTACAACATACGCGCCTGGACATTCCAAGAACGACTGCTCTCGAACCGGAGTATATACTTTCTCAAGGAACAGGTGTACTTTCACTGTAAAAGATACCTCGTGTGTGAGGATAGATACGTGAGTGACAGAGTCAGCTTCTACACACTGGAAAAGATGCGCGTGACAAGCGCAGAGTTAAAGACAATGGCGATCAAGAATGGCACTTATAGTCCGTTGGACGAGTTCCGCTGGTACGAAGACATCATCAAAGAATACACAGCGAAGATAATGCGATACCCCGACGATATCATCAATGCTTTCACCGGCATACAGACCGAGTTGGGTCACATGTTTGACTGGTCGTTCGTCGCCGGTCTTCCAGTATCCCTATTAGACATTGCATTACTATGGACTCCTATCACCACCGTCAAGCGAAGAGTCGTGGCCTCACCGCAACCCAGTTGGAGTTGGTCAGGCTGGATTGGGCGAGTCGGATATGCAGACCTAGTACGCCCAGGCCATAGACCAATGAGCTCGCTGTTTAGACCCCTCGCGACACACAATCTGGATAGCCCAGAAAAACTCGTGCTCAAATGCATGAGCGTTGCTTCTAACGCTTTCGAACTCGTCAAAGCTCCAAAACCGCTGTTGGATCCATTTGGAAGTAGACACACTACTGAGGACACATACTTTGTCTTTGACAGAGCCAAGCGGCGTTGCGGCATGCTCATAGGCCTTGCGGAGAATGATGCACTTCGCAGCAGCGCTGAAAACTTTCGACTTCTTTCGCTGTCTGTATGGAAGTCGAACAATAGCCTCACAACAAATGGGCCACTCGTTGCCCATCTTTCAGAGGATGCAGTTTGCTCCGACGAAGAACTTTACGATAAAACCTTGCGCGATGCAGAGTGGTGTACCTGCAACGTTATGCTTGTTCGATCAGTAGGCACAGCCTACGAGAGAGTCGCAGTGGGCCAGATACATACAGACGTATTGTCTGAAGCAGGTGAGACGCAGGGTGTGTTTATAGTGCAATGATTTATCACAGCATGTGTGTAATTACTTTGCCTGGACACATCACGGTCCTCCATTCTCTTGGTATAGATTGTCGTGCGGTATGTTCTCGATGAGCGCTGGCCTCTCTATGGCGCTTCTATAGTGCTGTCACCGCTGTCCCATCGTGACAGAGCGGGCGGGGCCGAAGAGGCCCGAGCTGATGACAAAGACATAAAAGTTGGCAACGGCCTGTTTCTTCCAGGACGCGGTGCAGGCATCAGCAGTATCGCTGCGGGGCTAGACGCGGGAGTTCAACTGGAGCCAACAGATGAGCTGATGGGGGAGCTGAGCCAGCCACACATGCTTCGTAGCGAGACGCCACTAATATGATAAGCCTATCATTTCCTCGTTAAATGTGAAAGCTCAAGTCTAGGCATCTCTTTCCTGCTGGATTCTAGCCATATTAGTGCCTACTGGCAATGGCAGTGGCGGTTACTGAGTATAACAGGCAGCAAAGCAAAGATAAAAAGCAAATATTAATTTGCGAAGTTCTGCGCTAGGAGCCTGCAGGTTTTATGAGAGCGCGTATGCAATTGCATGCATCACAATAGTGGAGCTACGTTTGGTGGTGCATAGTTCTGTAGCTAGAAGAACCCTTTATCTCCCGTATTCTTTGAGGGGTTTCAGACCTTTTAGCACTCTCAATACCAATTCTAGATTGCTGCATAATCTACATTGAGTGCTGTGCGTATCATTCCGGTATACTCTGCTAGCCAGCTGACAATTGCTTTCAGATACTTAGCTGACCTACAGGGTAGGCACTGAGTCCTCTTCAAACAAGGCTGTTGTTTGATCCCGTGCCGCAATATGGCGTCTGGTTTCGAAATCCTTGGCCTGATTGGCAGTATTGTCATCATCGTCGACACTACTATTGAGGTGTATGATGCGATCAAGAACCTCCATGGACTACCCGAAGCATTCCAGCAAGTGAGCAACCGGCTTCCACTTGTCAAAAACGCCTTTGAAGATGCGAAAGGGCCGGCAAAGAATGCGAGTTCCAACGATGAGAAAGCGCTAAAGGAACTCCTCGAAAGCTGTGAGAAAAAAGCCAGGGAGCTGCAGAAGATCTTCATGAAAATTGCCAAAAAGTCAACGGGTAGCGAACCTGTCATTTCGGTGTATCGCTCACTTGTCCTTAAGCTGGGCAAGAAGTCTCGAGTTGAAATTTTGATGGATGATATTTTGAAAGATCTACAAGTCATGGTTGCGCACAGCGTATTTCGAGCCGCCACGCAGAAGAGAGTCGAGGAGGTGGAGAGAGCTAGACAGGAGCTGGCGGAAGTGCCTCCATCACTATCCGACTCTGATTTCGATGAAAGGCCTGATACTGCTAACCAGTATGGCGACGGCAATCGCCAATACAATGCTTTCGGTGGCATACAGAAAGATGTTGATGGTAGCTACTTTGAGGCAGGGAGGGATCAAAATTTTGGTACGATGCCACTCGAAGCGTCTAAGAAGGAATGAGTTTATGCTTATCGACTATGTTCCGAGGACAAGGGATTGAGGTGCACATATCTAGATACGATCAGAAGAGCCACTGACATTTAGAGTAGGATGCGACGTGAACTATAGTTATCATTTCCAAAGTCAGTCTTGTTTTCATGCTCATAAAGTTTCTTCATCTCCCTGTTCCAGATATAACGGATGATTCTAACGCACTAGTCAAGTGGATCCTCTTTCAGTCGCGGCATCCGTTGCGGGTCTCCCCGCCGCAGGTAACAAAGTGGTCTCATTGCTCTCCACAAAATGCAAGGGCTCCCCATCGCTTGCAGCAGGTATAAACGAGGGAGTGTCAGATATCTCAGATGCGCTGTATCGCCTCCAGGATCTCGTTAGCGGTCGTTCAAAAGCAGTCGCTGAGAGAGGGAGTCAGATCCAGCTCGACCAATTGCTTACAACATTGACTGGATGTGTCATGACGTACTCGGACCTCCAGCAGTTCATACATACGAGTCCGAATATCAACGAGGGTATGAGGACGTCCGATTGTATCAACACCTTTGTCCAAAGACTGCAAAGCTACAAGTTTTCACTCAGACTGATGTTGACTATCATGCAATGGTATCGACCTAAGACCACTCTGTTCCATTTAAGAGCGTACCTGACCAGTTGCCAGCGAATCTATGAAAGAAGCACAAAGCTGTGCACGGAAGCTATGCGATCTGGTTGAACAACTGTTAGAGAGCTATCCAGACCTTGCCAAACGAATGCAGGGTCTGGAGTATGAAGGCTCGATCATCTCCAAAGCTCGATCATCTCCAAAGCTCGATCAGAGATCAACCCTGGAGATGACACTTCCACGATATACCGAGCCAGCACCACGAGAGAGAGTATGTTACAACCAGGACATGCGCCAGTCAAGCGGCTCGCATTCGAGGATGCACTCGAATCATCTCACGTTTACAAGAAAGCGATCTATGGCCATTCACAGCTCTCAATAACAAGCAGCGCTCTGTACTCTACGGCACTCTCAGTCTTCTCCAGACTCAGTCTGGATAGAGTCTCCAAAATCTCGTTCTACGCGCTGCCTGTGTGTGCCGTCGACCTAAACAACAGCGACTTCTACGTTTTTGGTGAGGGAGCGGTTCTTCTCGATCTGCCTGCCACTCCGACCACGCGTAGCGAGGATCAAGATCGCCAATCCCCTGTCAACAACGAACCTACTCCGAAACCTGCCCACTCAGATATCGCATCACCAACAGCGAAACCAAAGCAGAGCGGCTTGCTGGGTCGCTTCGCAGCTCACCGACGACGTCCCCTGACTATCTCCACTCCCACGAACCCCTTGCACGTCCACCACATCACCATCGATGGTGCGACTGGAGAATTTAAAGTATGTGACAAGTATTCCCTCTGGACCTCTCATGCCTTCCAGATGTACAAAAAAGAAAGAAGAGCTTCTGCTCTCGCGTATTTGGGTGTTCCAGCGTACCACGCCGTCTTTTCAACATCTGTACTAACTGTGCGCAGGGCTTACCAAGGGAATGGCAACGCTTATTGGAACCGCAACGCCTCTTGGAACGGCGTGCTATCTTGGAACGGGATGCTAACTTGAAACAGAAGCAGCAGCTTGCCATTCCACTCAAAAGTCCTTTTTCCCCGTGGAACGAACAAAACAGCTTTGAGAACCCGCGTGCTCCTCCTCCAACTCCCCGCAGCCACACTTCGCTAGCTATCTCGACTCCAAACTCACATCATATCAATAGTGCTCTTATTTCAGAATGGCCAGCTCCAGAGCCCACAGGTGATACAGGCTCTGCTAACCTTGTCCCAAATCGACCAGAGTCCTCCAGCTCCCAGTTCGATGATGACATAGCAATCCACTCAGACTCCCAAAAGCATACTAGAATGGACATTTCCCAACAGGAATTGACATTTCCTTCCCATGCGCTGCCCTGGGATTTCAGTGACTGGGATTGCAGTGAGAGCTTGGCGATAGAATTTCTAGAAACACCAAGCCACCCGTAATCGCCAACCCTCTGTATACGGTATTCATTGGCAATCCAAATGTTATAAGCCAACTATGTAGCGAATATCAATACGCCATGGAGCTGTCGAAGGGTCCTGACCGTTACATGGGACGCATCCTACGCCCCATGGTACGCCGCATCCCACGGCAGTATATCTAACAATGAGCCCGCTTTATCGCGCCAGATGGGTCTAAAGTTCGTCTGACGATCGTCTAAGGTTCTGAAAGCCTTTGCAACTCCAACCATCAACATTATGGGACTGTGGGACGTAGACTATGACACCATCGATGATAGGGCTTGCTAGTCCATGTTCCCAGTCACAGTTTGCGAGTAGCCCTCTTATGTTGCGCCGAATGGCAGCTAACTGTGTTGTAGGCTTCGTGGCGTTGAGAGTCGGCACTCGCATATTCAGCAAAGGCGGTGGCCTTGGAATAGACGACTATTGCCGTATTCTGCGTCGTTATGATGCTCGTCACCTGCGTCCTGATCACAATCGGCACCTAGTACGGTCTTAGATGAAGAGTGGAGGCCATCGATCCTCCGTTGATACCGCTAGCTCTCAAGTGGAATGTGATCATCAGTTTGGTACTGATATGGACGTTTCCGCTACCCAAGTTCGCCATCATCGCTATTCTCAAGCGCATTCTGAACTACGGCCTCAAGACGATGATACTATTCTGGACCCTCGAACTCAGCTCCCAGGTCTGTATATTAGCTACCTCAGTCTGGTGGTACAAGCAATGCGATCCGGTCGAATTCGGCTGGAACAGAACCATACTGGGCGGAAAATGCGCCAGTACCAAGGTCATGTCAGATTTGGGCTATTTCACTTCAGCCTACTCTGCCTTCCTAGATGTATTCTTCGCTGTGTGCCCGATTCCATTCATTATGCGCCTCAACATGTCACTCGAGAACCGCATCCTGGTCTCGATCGCGCTGGGTCTCAGTATCCTGGCCTTCATCCTCACTACCTACAAACTCACAATCTTTGGGGAAATTTTTGTAGTGTTGGCTGAGAACCCGACTTGTGAGTTATTCACCCCACGTGTTTCTTAGCACAGAACTAACTTTGTTAGCCCCGGTCTCGCTTCTCGATATACTTGGTCTAGAAGAGGGTTGTATTCTTGTGGTATGCTCCTCTTTGCCCACACTGGGTCCGCTCTTCCGCTTGGCCAGAGGGCAGTAGAGCCACCAGCCAGGGACGGCGCAGCAGCGCCACCCACCGAGGGCTATCCACTACCAGCGGAAAATGGGGCAAACTTCAAGGGCATCAGTTGGATGACGAGGAGAGGGCATCGAGCCACGCAGGTGAAAGCATCGATGACATCCCACTCGTTTACCACAGCGCGAACCAGATGCACAAGACACTTAAGTTTAAAGTGACCACCAGCGCAAAGGTTGACCGACGAGCGAAGCCAATTGACGATCGTGACACGTAGCTTGGTGTTAGTGTGGGGGCCAGTATTTCCTCTAGGCATCTACGCGCGCGATAGGGCAGCAGCGCCGTAGTTATAATCCGATTAAGCAAGCTTTGGTATTGTTGAAACAATTTTGTCGAGGTGATGTTATTAAGGTGAGGAACTGTGAAAGAGGGCGACTTGAGTGGGAACTAAAAGTAACATAGAATTTTATATTCCTACAAAAAGCCCCACCCTCCCTTAGTGAGAAGGTTATTCGAGTCCTCAATGCAGACTATTCAGCAACATCAAAGTTCAACTGCTATAATAGGTACCAACTAGTAGGTCTTATTAAGGTCTCTCGCACGAGTCTAAGGGGCTGTATGCCAAGCACGGCATGCCTAAAGTGGCGTGCAAGGTATGTGTGTGGCCCAACAGGTGGGTCTACCCCTCTAGTCAACCAGTGGATATAGCCAGAATTTCACGGTAGATATTAATATTTCTCTTTTATTAAATAGTAGACTGCATGGTCGATTGCCTGCGACCAACTTCGATATACTTTAATTAACTTTGACGTAGTTAATAGGCTTTGACGTGGACTAGCTTTCATATACGGTCTACTAACTTTGATATACGGTTAACTACGCCGACGTTAGTCGAAATCCGTCGAAGTCCGTCGAAGTCCGTTGAATAACTCAGACTAACTTCTACTTATGGTCGACTGACTTTCATGAACTCTGACTAGCGTCGGCGTTGTTGACGGGCTTGAACGTATGGCTAACTAACCTTAACGTATAGTCCACCGTTCAAATCAGCTTATCTACTACCTGGCTTTACGTTACATGCATCGCGTCAGGCACACGACGTACAACCTGACCAGGACAAGTATCGAATAATGAACTTGATCCCTAGAACAGTAACAGTCCAGGTGGAGGTAGAGGCGGCGACGGTGGCGGCGACGGCGGCAACGGAGGCGGTTGCAAGCTCCTCATTTCCCCACCATCACCGCCACCCAGGATTTCCTTCCCCTACCTAATTATCATTCATGGTCCTCCTAAATCAACCATCACTCCTAATACATGGCCGACACTTAATTGCTCGAAACCCGGTCCACCGCCAGGCCCCAGTCCAACACCCGGGGGCGGCATGTCCATCATCCCGCCCGGCGACAACAAAGAAGACGACCAAGAAGAAGAGAACGCAGGAGAGGAAAAAGGGAGAGCCTACGCCATGAGAAAGCGACCCACCAAAACCGTCATCGTCACGCCAACCACAGTGACAACAGCGACAACAACAAAACAGCAGCCCCCACCCGTAAAACGCCCGACTTTAGCAAAGATAAAAGGCGCTGCTACGATGGCGTCAGCCAATAGACCCGCCGCGCACGCATAATCAACAGTGCAGTCAAACACTGTGATCAATCGCTTAAAGGCAGGCAACTAACCGAAAAATTGAACGCTGACGAAGTTAAACGCCAATACGTTTGCGAAATCTCCGAAATCATCGCTATAGAAACTATCGCATTCGTTGAAGCCGTGCCTGATTTGGGGTGCGAGTGTGTGCAAGACGGAGTTTTGGAAGGTTATTGATAAGTGTAATGAGGATGGGGAGCATAGGAAACAAGGGGAGACGCTCTCTGGAGAATGTTTGAATTGGCGGTTGGATCTGAATACTGAATAGGGATTATTCAAGATTTGGGTCGCTGGAAGAAGGGGGTTTCTTTTTCTTGTCCAACCTTTTGTGCGTTGAAATAGAGGGAGCGTGTAATGTGGGTAACACAATGTTTGTGAGCCAGGAAAGGGACATTATCGCAGAGGCATTGAGAGCGGATCTGGGAACAAGGAGAGAAGACGCAGAGAACAAGTCATAGTAAAGACGAGAGCATATTTTCTGTCTTTTTGGCATTTGTTATTACAGACCATGTATGAAAGCTTCTTTGGCCATTCCCTGGCTATTCAAGTCTTCGAAGGCTTTGTGGCTCATGATGATTTCCCGACAACAGCCTATTCTTTCTCATTGTAGATGATTGGAGTAGAGAGCTACAGGCAATCCCTAGTAGGGCAAGGGCGGGCTCTAACTACGGTCATTATTCCCACAACCTGGCGGCTTCCCAACGAGAGGAAGGCCACGTCTGCTGAGACAGGCTACACATCGACTCTTATTGTAGACGAAGATGCGGAGTCTTCGTCAAGAGTAAACATGTGAGGATACTATGCAGGATGAAGCGCATGCCTTTGTAAGTTAACCAGGGCCTCAACAGTCAACCCACTCTTCCTCTTCTTCTCTCCTTCTCCCCAGCAGCCTCTTGTCACTCCTCCCTAGCCGTTTCCCCGTTCTTTTCAACGTGCCCATCTTCTTTCGCTTCTGCCTGCTGAATTCTTTCGCAATCATCTTTCGCAGTTTCAGTTTCTTCACGTCATAGAGTCTATCACAGAGCTCTGATAACCGCTCATTGACGTCGTTGCTCAGCACATCTCCTTCTTCCTTGCACTTTGTGAAAACATCCTCGATTTCACGCCCAAGATCTTTGATAGTGTCCTCTTTCAACAGCGCAATGTCTGCTTTATGCTCTTCCATTTCATTCATCATTTCTGCCGTTTCATGGGCTCGTGCATCGTACGCTTCGTTCCAGACCTCATCCAGCTTTTTATCAACAAGTTGCTCGAAATGCTGTAATTGGCGGGCCTGGTATTGCTGAAATTGCTGAGCGAGATGGACGCGGAGGTGGGGAATCCATGTCTTTCCCAGTAGTGTCAGGGGCGGTAGCTTTGGATATTTGTTGCCGAGACAATCAACAGAGGTGAATGAAGAGGCTGGTGAGCCAATATGGGTCTTGGGCGCGCCAGCGAGCAGACTTTCGAGGACGTCAGGAAGGACCTTCTCAAGATACGCAGGCAGTTGTTTGCTGACCGCCGCATTGATAGCCTCAGTCTGATAGTCAACTTCGGGCGACACCTGCGTGAATTGTTTTATCAAAGCATCAGCTGTAGCCGGGCTCAGCGGTACGGTAGTGTCAGAGGTGTCGGATTTAGCAGGCGATTGGGGCGCGAAGCGTTTCGGTGACTGATTGGGTGACCCCAGGCTTGCTGCGGATGTTTAATTAATTGCCAGAGTTTGGACGGGGACAGAACTCACTCTGCCTTGGCCGCTTACGAGGATTATCATAAGCAGGCGGCGCCCCAATATCGTCAACAGGGCAGAAGACCTCCCAGCTTGCCCTCCTCAGCCCTTGTTTAATGAGTGTTCCATCGATTGGATAGCCAGCCAGGCCCCTCGCAGCTTTGCTAAACGCCTTGAACATACCCTGATGTTCCTTGCGCACATACTTGTAATCGAAGGCGACGTGAATCGTGGTTGCTTTGGTGAGTTCTACAAACTCGCGGAAAGAAGAGTCACATCCAGGCTTGGGACTGAAAGACATGGCGGCCGGACACCAGAGAGGACATGACTGGTCAACGCTCAGGGTAAGAGTCTTGATGTCCCAATGCTTGTTATCCTTGTTTCGCAAGAGCTCGTCCAGCTGTGGTCGTGGAATATGGCTATTGCCACTAGTGAGCCTGACAGTGCCAGACAGCAGCTTGTCAGCATCGTACTGTAGAGCGAAGAGCTGTATATCATGGGTTGTGGGGATTTTGACTACGAGCAAGACTGTCGCCTGCTTGGACGTGTCATCACACCTAAAGATTAGAGAACATGGGCACGGCGATACAGGATCCGAGATGTTCGGTACAGGATAGGCGAGCGCCTTGAAACCACAGTTGAAAAAGTTCATATTATTAGCTATCCAAGATGCCCGCTGAACTCACCAAACCCCCTTGGACGACAAGGGAACCCACCCTCCCAGGCTTCGAAGCAGCCTTGACTTTGTATATGTCGCATCCACCGCCAGCACCAGGTACGCGACCCCAGCAATCAATCGAAAGCCCACCCCGCTAATGGCAGCCGACGGACGCGCAGTGCGATGCAGAGTCGCCCGCCTTTGCCACCAGCGGCCTTGTGAAGTTCGCAAGGATGATGGGCCTAAGTCGAGTACTTGATACGCGCAACAAGTGGGAGCGAGGATGGAGGGATATTCGGTTCGTTAAGTATGTACGTAGGTGCTGTATAGGTGCGATCGGGGAACCTGTTGGTGAATGTTGGTGACGAAGTCGAGGGCTGGTGGCTGGGGATGCGCGTTGGCTTGGCAGACAGTCATGGGCCGTGCATAGTTTACATAATATGTCACTTGCGGCTTTCGCGTACAACCCGCCAAGACCTGAGCGTTAGTGCGAGGCCCGCTCGATTTGGCAAAAGTGTTGCTCTGGTATCCATGTCAGTAATGCACAGCTGAATATTAAGGCCACATGGGCAGTGTCATAACACTATTGGTGCTGCGCGTTCATCTGGCCGCGATCCCGTAACTACGAAGACGAGACGCGTTGGCGAATACAAGAGTGAGCTACGTTGTTCCATTGACTGTAACGAACAGCTTGAAACATATAGCAAGTCTAAAAAAAGCCTCAGATTTGAAACCCTCGTACTTCTACAGTTTTGAATCTCAATGCGAGGTTAGCAAGCTTTACTTTCCACTCCGTAGTGAGTTCCATATCTTCCAACAACGTATTCTCTACAATCACTTTGCCTCCATACGCATGATGCAGCTTGATATGTTCGGGCCAGTTGAAGTCGTCATTCTTCTCACGTACGAGGAAAGGTCTTCCATCTTTCAGAATGACTTCGTAGTTGTCGTTGTGTTGGTAATCTTTGAAGTGGCCGGTTACGTACCGCCCTTGAGCTGTTACTACAACACAACAGTGCCAAGGTTGGAATCCAAAACCATCCAATTGGGGTATCAAAGGAACCGGTATCTTGGATTCGCCCGTAGATCGATGAATAGAAAGCCTGACGTGATCGGGAAAGGCAGCTTCCAAGGCTCTTTCATAAGCCTAGAGGGTACATTGTGAGCCCAACACTCAAATCTAAAGCAAGAATGCAAACTCACAAGCAGGCGCTCCGTCATCTTGACTGCAACTTTCTTAGTCTCCTCAGTGTATCTCTCCCTATTATTCTTGATTGCTGGATCAAGATCTGGACCCCATCGCAAATCCTCATCCGTGAGCTTGACGTACGCTTGGTATGTGAGGTTTGTGTCTTTGTGATTTTCAATCTTTTCCTTCATCTCTGACTGATCGGGCAGAAATCTAGCTTCCATTTCGGCCCGGCAAGTATCAGCTAAGGCTATATATTCATCCTTGGGCAATGAATCCCCATCAGCAATCCCAAGTACGTCCGCCAGGCGTCGAAATCGGATGCGCGTGAATTCTTGATCTGCTGCAATCTTTCGTAGTTTGACACCATAATCATAAAAATCAGAACCAGGTATACACAGCAGATCTAACAACGAAGGATTAGTAGAACGCACATATTGTCCATCGAGTACAGCTCACCGTTGTAGACAGGACCATCAGATACTATCGTAAGCTCCGCGCCATAACGATACACTTTCGCCAACTCATTGCAGAGGTGATCGAGTCTTGCCAAACCCAGCTCTTCCGCAAAATCTGGGTTTTTAGTGTCCAAAACTTTCAATGGGGAAGAGTTCTTGAATGGGGCCGCGGGCAAGAGTAATGGGATTGGACTCCTAGATTTGTAACTGAGTTCAATCTTGGAAGCAGCAACTGTTCCGTAGCTATGCGTTTCGTTTGGTTGCTTCTGGCCTTCAAGTTGAGAGAAGCATCGAAGAACAGCAAGAACAGCCTCGATATTCAATGATCTGGCATTGGCCATGGTTGGGAGATTTCGAAAGGATATGGCGAACCAAGTTGTTTACATATATGAATCTAATAGCTGATCTTTTGAAAGACAGGGAAGGAAAGACGGCGTAAGAGAACCTTTCCGCTGTTTTCTGTCAAGGATACTTTGAGGGCCCGGCCGTTTTTTTTGCGGCTCAACACACAACCCAAGGAGAGTCAGCAAGTCAGAACAAGTATTGCACAATCGATAATCATGGTGGTGGGGCAGCGACAGCTGGCCTAAGTACAGGATACTGAGCCAAGGTGCTATGCCCCATCGAGTAAGGCTCAATGTGATAACTACAAGAGTGTGTAAAACAAACATCAAAATAAGAAAATTATGGGATGCGGACTTGACTCACGTTGTGAGTTGAAGAAGTTTATGATTTATTGGTTTTTTACTTTTTGGAAAAGAAGAAACACCAAGCTCTGACGCTGGCAACCCATATTGTGATGCAAACACCTGACCTGCGGGCACTTTTCAGCGAGAGCTACACATAGCTTATTGAAAAATGAGGTTGCAGTTTGTCCAGAAGGAGCAGAAAAGCCCTGGAGCAATTCATGTAAGCCATCATCGACGTTGAGCAAGGTGAAGTTTGTACAGATTAAGCCAGTCATCTATAACGATGCGAGAAGAGAAATTGCAATCATAATAGACCATAGAGGTGTAAATTATCCTATAAAAGATTATTTTCTACTAGTTTACAGCCCTGAGAACTAATTGGGGCTTGGTTTTGGCTTCGTGATGGCTGCTAACACGTAGGCTAAGCAGCCCGCCAATAGCGTGGCGCCTCCAAACAACTGAGCATATAAAAAGTTCCCATCATGAATCGCAACAAGGTGTGCTCCAATAACTGGTCCTGTGAGACATGATACGCTCACGATACCAAAGACCATGCCAACCTTGGTGCCTACTCTTGTCGGATCAGTACTTAAGTCTCCAGTAGCTGCTGGAAAGAGGCTCTGGGTAGCATTGGCCGCAATGCCGTAGATAACAGCCCATCCAAACAATCCCTCAGTGGAGGATACACCTGCCCAACCAAATAGCAGTAGCCCACTAATCCCAGCTACAGGGATAAGTGTTCTCAGTATTCCAAAGTATCGATCAGCCAGAAATGCTGGAATGACCCGGCCAAGCAATCCCACACCGTTCATGACGATAATGAACAACAAAGATTGGGTTTGGGAGAAATTAAGTATTGTGCGCCCGAAAACACCAATCTGATCTTGTTAGTTTACTGGCATATATCTTTCGCATCGTAGAAGGAAAATAAAAAGACTCACATAGAAGTAAGCGAAATACAACCCCCATAGAGCGAGGAAGGAGCCTATCGTAAATAGAGTGAAGGATCGTTCCTTGAACGCCCGCGTATCAAGAATCGAACGTGGTTTACGGACCGGAACACGGGTCTTGGTAAAGCTGAGAATCATAGCAGCATTGAAGGTCACAACAAAGGACATAATCAGGACGGTCCATCGAAACCCTACGCGGTTGAGGCATGAGTAGGCAATGAGCGGAAATACCATACCGCCCGTCGAGGCTCCACAAGTGGCCAGAGAAACAGCAACCGCTCTATGCTTCTTGAAATAAGTCGGCAGGATAGAGACGATTGGTGCGAACAAAAAGCCGTGTCCGAGACCGCTGCAGACACCTTGTGCGAGAAACAACTGCCAGTATTTCGTTGATAGGGCAGTCATGAAGATACCCAAGACTTGGAGTGTGCACCCGAGAAGGAGGGTTTGTCTGAAGTACCCCATGTCGACTGTCCTTCCGGAGAAGACGCCGACAAAGTTCAATAGAAACATCTGCAAACCGCCTATCCAGGCAGAGTCTGATGATGATATACCCAGGCTTTCAACATAGTATTGTTGAAAGAAACCGAAGCTGGATGCGCGTTTAGCATTAAGTACGATTGGTAGTCATGTTTAAAACTTGGGAACTCACGACGTAATGTATCCCCAGCAGTTGAAGATGACCAAGTGGCCCATGACGACTTGCGTCCACGCCAAAAGACCTCCATCTGGGATTTCCTCGTGCTTTGGGTCTTCGGGGGACGTTGATCGACCTTGCGAAGAAGTTTTCTCCGTTGCCTCGGTGTCTAAACACTGTAGATTAGCCGAGTTTTGGTTACTAATTGCGAAATGAATACCCATTGTAGTTTACTAGATGCGAATGATTCCAAGTGAAGTTGGTTGATGTGCTTACTCAACAAGTATATCAAAGATCCCCTTGGATCACTTCGGCAACTGAATCGGGATCTGAATCAAACATATAAAGGAAAACGGTTCGCGCTATCTTGATGCAAACAGATGGATATCTCGGTCTGGTAAAGTATGGAATTTGGAGACCATCTCATATCAGTTGTTAGAGCCATGTGTACCCAAAAAAGAGTAGTTTTGGGTACAGAGATGCGTACTTGGACGATCTCCACGCTTGGGCGATCGACAAACTACTGGGCTAAGTTCAACGCAGAACTTGATATGACGCCGTACCAAACTTTGTGCCCTGCTTTGGATACCATGTGCTCACTACTCCAGCACAACGACGTAAAAAGACGGCATCGAGACGATTGCATAATGATGATGTATCAGATTCATTCCCTTTTCGTTGAGATCGTGTGCGCACTGGGCCAGACGTCATGTGCGCATCCCCCTCAACAAAAAGAAGTAAACATGCTGCAGCCGGAATGTTCCGAGCGTGATGGGTTAAACTTTCAGGCTATTCTGATGAGGTTGGGTGCACACTACGCATTCTATTCATGGTGTAAAAGGCCAATTATGGATCGGTGATGATACTGTATCCATGTTCTTTCAGCACGACGGCTATATTAGGTAGTATTGCTTAGAATGCGAGATCACCCCCTCAGACATCTATCACTACCTAGTAACTCGCTTTTGTATTCTTTGCTATGCGCTACAAGTACCTAAACATGACTTTGGTTGTAAGTCTTTTTAGGAATGGCTCTTGGCGTGTCTACAATTCCCCGTGCGCTTCTGGGAAATGTGGGTGAGAAATAGCTTTCCAGATTAGTATCTTATTCCACCCCGGCACCATATCATCAATATCTGACGGAAGTGTAATCGAGATATCAAACATCATCTCTGTTCATCTAAGTTTGCTTTTATTCGTACAAATCTTAGGAGAGGAGCTTTGCTCTACATAAACAAGGATCCTATTTTCATCAGAATACATTTGTGCACTTGGGTGATGATTCTCACTTTGACTCTTGCTTTTTACGTAGACCCACTCTCTCGTTCCTGCAGTGCACTGACAGTACACGTTACTTTGTCTGGTTTAATGAACGTAGTAATCCTAAAAGACTCACACACCCATTTTCACTCCAGTAACTTTCATAGCGAATGATGGCTTTCAGATCCCCAGATTTTTGGGTAGCCCTACTCACTACTGTTTCGTCACTCGGGCAAGCTCTTCAAATTACTGGCACTACCGCATATCTCAATGGAGTTCCTTATTGGATTCCGCCAGATGCAGTCGGGTCTCTTCAAAGCAATTTTGCGATTTCATTCTTCGAATCGAACAGGCTTGCTTTGAATGGTTTTATGCCAATGACCGTGATATCGCCTGGTCCTGGTGTCTATTCGGATGCTTCTCTCGAGCGTGAACTATCCTACTTTGTGGAAAACGATGATGTTTGGAGCGAAGGCTTTGCCAAACGTATGAGTTCCTTAAGATATGCTCTTCGATCTTTCGAAACGTACTAACGACTCCTTAGTGGTTTATCTTGAAGCGACTAACCAGAGCCGTGAAAATCTTGGGGCCGATTCCATGCAAATTCGGGGCAACAAAACTATCTTGTTTGCTCCAGAGAAGACGAATGAGGCTATTCCTCGGGGCCCTTACTTCCTGTCGTCTCAAGGTAGCATTCATCAAGCTTACCGGCTTTACTCTGATCACCAAGAAGCTTTCACTGAATCTACGTACACCAATCCTTCCGGAGCGCATTCTGTTCTTCCTGCGCATATAACAGGTAATGGTATTACAATAGCTGTTCCGTCTAGACTTTACTACACGCGGACACCGACTACCCCACTTGCTGGCATGCGTGTTGGTATCAAAGACATTTTTGACGTAACTGGCATAAAAACTGGTAACGGCAACAGAGCATGGTACAACCTATATCCTCCAGCCAATGCAACAGCACCCCTAGTACAGCGGTTGCTGGATGCGGGCGCTATCATTGTAGGCAAGCAAAAGACTGCCCAGTTTGCCAACGGAGAGTACTCAACTTCAGATTGGGTCGATTATCACTCACCTTTCAATCCACGCGGAGATGGCTACCAGGATCCCAGCTTTTCTTCCGCGGGAGCCGGTGCTAGCGTTGCATCGTATGACTGGTTGGATTTTGCTTTGGGATCAGATACAGGCGGTAGCATTCGCGGCCCTGCTCGATCCAGCGGCCTTTACGGATTGAGGCCATCACACGGCGCCGCACCCTTACAACTTGCACTCGCACTTGCTCCTGAATTAGACACCGCTGGGCTCATTGCAAGGGATCCATTGCTTCTCCAATATGCAGCTGCTGAAACATACGGGCTATCCCGTAACAACTTTCAGGATTTTCTCCCAACTCAATTGCTGGTCGAACCGTTTCCAGCCGGATTATCAAATGAGACAATCACGATTATCAATCTGTTTCTCGATGCGATGAAGAATGTTCTTGGCATCGAGAAGACGGACTGGTTCAACGTAACAACCGCCTGGCAGCAGTCTCGGCCCCAGTCCGCACCAATGGATATACAATCATTGCTAGGAAATGTTTACGCAACGATTATTAGCCAACGTCAAACAGAACTAGTCCGCGACCCCTTCTACGCCAAGTACGCATCCATGCATGACGGAAGGCTGCCCGCTGTAAACCCAGTTCCATTAGCGCGATGGGCTTTTGGGGATGCACAACCATCGACGGCATTGGCTGATGCGCTCACGAACAAAACTGTATTCATGGACTGGTTCCAAAACCATGTGCTCAAGGAAGATCGCCGCAGCTGCACATCGGCGGTGCTGGCCTACATTAATGCGCCAATCGTTCAATACAGAAGCACCTACAGAAGCCCACCACAAGCGCCCTCGGGGTTCACGAACCAGTACTTTAGCGTCATGGCAGAGGTACCCGACATAACTATTCCAAGTAAGTGATCCGATCGGACGATAACGATTAGCTTGAATAGGTCCGTTAACAAGCATGATGCAGTTGGTCAGATGTCTTACCATTCTACAACAACAAACCACACAGAGCAATTACCTGTGTCGATAAACTTGATGGTTGCCAAAGGATGTGATGCTACTTTATTGAATTTAGTCACGAAGCTTTATCATGCAGGTGTGCTAAAGGCTTCAGAAGTTGGAGCAAGTCTTGTCGATGGTGGGGAGATACTGCAGAAAAAGTAGATTGTCAGAATCAATAACAAGTCGAGTCTGAGATTTAGATGTGATAACAGCAGGCATTCATTGGAATAAGAACTAGAAAGAATACAAATTACTTTTATTAAGTATTTTATGCACAATGAGCTAATAGCAAGACTTTTCACCAACATCGAACAACCCCATGTTGACACTGTCTTTCAGAATCCTTCCAAGGTCACATTTCCCTGGAGACTCTTCAGTTTGGCGAGTTTCTCCTGGTCAGCATCCGACAAAGACTCCTTGGAATTTCCCCCAACATTTCGCACAATCATGCCACCGCCGTAAAGGTGGGTGAACTCTACCTTGGCATCCCATGAATACAGTGGGGATCGCTCACGGAAGCAGTAAGGCACACCGTCTTTCAAAACAAGGTCATGAGTCTCCCGCAGGACTCCCGCATGTGCGGTCTTGAATTTTCCATTCACATCCACAGCCACTGCGCAGTGCCATGGGGTCATGGAGAAGGAGTCAGGCTGGGGAATCATCGGCATGGAAATCTTTGTGAGTCCAGTCGAAGGGTGAATGGAAAGACGGACATAGTCGGGGTATCTCTCACGGATTAGGGCTGCAAAAGCCTGGAGTTTCGTGTTAGCATGCAAAACATCGATCGATACGGGAATTGTTTCGTACCACACCACGAGCAATCATTGCTTTGGCCGTATTATGTACCAAAGCTTTCCACTTCTTGCCACTAGCCGCATTCTGTTTGAAAGGACTAAATGCAAGATCCTTCTTCAGAAACTTGGAGTAGCCATCGTAGGTCGACTTGTAATCCGGGTCGTTCTGGATGTACCAATTCGCATCGAACTCAGAATCGCCATAGCGGGTCATCATGACGCGACGGGAAGGCTCAAGGAGATGGACAAAGTCCTCCTTGGAGATTTGCTCATCCGTATGCAATCCCAAAAGATTCATAATGCGGACGAACTTGATGCAGTCGTAGCCTTTCTCTGCGACCATCTTGCGCAGAATAACTCCGTACTCCCAGAGGCTATCCTCCGTAACACCTGTGAGGTCTTATTTCGTCAGCTAGTGCATTTTCGATCACAGAAATTTACTCACCATTATAACAAGCACCATCAGTCGCAATAAGGACCATAGCACCGGGCTCATAGACGCGACTGATTCGGGTGCACAAGTCGTTCAACCGATCCAAAGCAAGCTCTTCTCCAAGGTCAGGACTAGTGCCAAGAACCTTGTCTTGCGTGTTGATGCTCTTTGCCGGGAAGGCTGGAAGAACCATAGGGAGCTTCCTATGCTCAGACACATGCAGGTAGACTTTTGGCCCGAAGACCTTCCTTCCCATGAAAACGTCGTTGCCATACTGCTGAAGACTGAACGTCTCTAGGATATCCATGATGGCAGCGACTGTCTCATCGATCTGCTGTCCCTTTTTGATGCCCTCATTGAGCGCAGCCTTGATGAAGTCATTGCTGGAAGGCTGTGGGATTTGAACAGTGTGTTCTTCCGCGGGTAGGGAAGGTCGTGAGAAAGGTTGAAGTCCAACCTGAACTGGTGCAGTAGAAACTAAAGTCTGAGACATTTTTGATTAGGTATAAAAGAGTTCTTTTCGAAGTTTATTATGTACAGAAAAATATGTCGTGAAATTTGTTAACGAGTATAGGTATTATAAACTAAGTGATGAGAAGGTAATGTGGAAGGATGCTTTGAACTTTTTGAAGGCTGTACGCATCTCTAAAATATCTATATAGTGTTCACTACTGTGCCATTCTTGGGGTTGGTATGATCGTGCGCCATAATTTCACTAGCCCGGACGGATCGGATACGCCAAAGCGTAGACCCAATAAACGCTTGAACTCCAGGATCGGGGTGACGTTGGCTGATCAACATCACCACATGTTCCATGATGTTTTACTGCATCGCGGCATCACCAAAACATGTTCTCTACATTTCATGGCTGGATACTATGACGCGATTCTTTGAATAATCTAAAACATTTTTCCATGCCTATTAAGCATAGAATCTCGAGAAAATGCAGCGGAAAATAAGGAAGGAAACCTGCATAGAGGTTTTGCGGTGCCATCATTTGTTGCATAGAATAAGTAAAATAGGGTAAAATTCAGAAAATCTTGGTACGGAACATTCATTTTTTTACACCACTTATGAACAGGGCCAAGACAACAGTCAAGGATCAAGGGATCAAGGAAGTTTGTTGTCCTTTTTTGCATTTTCGGGAAAAAGAACACATGAATGCGGAGTGTCTTGGCGATCTCTGATGCGGAGGAAGAAATTATTAGGTACGGGTACTTGCCTCGACTTGCTTCCTTATGTTTCGCTTAGCTAGTACAAGTTTCGCAGATCTCTATTGTTGAGTTCCTCAACAGAGGCCCATCAGGGGCCACGTCCAGCTCATAACAATACCGATCGAGTGGTAGCTTTGGGCTTTGTTGTCGGAGGTATCGAAAAACTACGAGAAATCGGTGTTTCGTTGTGTTGAAACAAGTTGTTGGAGAGCCATCAAGTGTGCGCGAAGAGCAATGGGTGCGTTAACGTCAAGGCACATGTCTGTGACTGACCCAGAGTGACAAACATGCGGAGAAGGAGCTCATTTTACCTGATCGCTCTCATGGATAGTACCGTGGCGAGCATTGTGACATCACCCTACTCCCTTCTGGAGTCTCGTCTCGACTCAAAACTCCAGCCAACAGGGTCGTTGCATACCAGTCCACTTGCCTGCTGTGCTGTTATTTCTAAAACTTGTGATGGATTTCAGCACCATTCAAAGAAGACCTTCATAGAAACCACGTATTTCAAGGGTTTTTTTTGTCTATATGAGCATATTCCTGACCAAGTTCCGTGCGCTCAATCTCGCCTAGTTCATTCCATGCCCTTCGTCCTGCTAACGTTGGTGTCAGCTTTTCCGTCTTGGGCATAGCTTCATAGCCTCAACACGAAGGTCTTGATTGTTTCCTGCTTCCTGCGTAGTCTTCGTCAATAAACACCCAAGAAATTTGACTTTCACTTTGCACTTTCTAATGTAATCCTCTGTGCGCTAGAATTTTGTTGACTTTGTAGTTTTCTCATCATGCCGCGTCATCTTCGATCTAAACAGGTCCTTGTCGAAAAAGTTGAATGTGGATGGCTTCTTCCGGTTACCAAGCAGTACGGTCTTGGACACCAGGTGTATGCAAAATATCGACGATGTTGCGATAAAGTGCGTACGCTAGCCTCGCGATCTCCCGCGTCATGATGAACGGTCCCAGGTACCGGATATGCAGCTTCTTTGACGAGAGACTTATACCACTGTAACTTTCCCTGAGTGCCACTAGCCTCCTTCAGGAAAATGAAGCAGTACCAGGTCCGCCGTGTTGTAATCACTACGCATTAGGCCATGTTTCTTCCAGCTTTGCACATGCCAACCACTTCTTTAGGACTAATTTCCCAGCATAGTCTTAGGTAAATTCATCTCGTAAGCGACAACTTGGATCCTGATCCAAGTTTACAGCTATTCCAGGTTCGTTGAACAATAGATCCTGTAAAATTTTCGATTCAGGACTGATCTTGTGATCGTGGCTCTCAAACTCATATCCTTTGAGTTGACTGCGGCCATATTTCTACCTGTATTCGTTGTCACACTCAGTAGTTTAATGGTCATTACATATATCGCTCATATGGCCCTCACTGCTTTGTGGTGATACCGGGGCGGAGGATTAGTAGATGAACCAAGGGATCACAGCTTCTGCTGAGCAATGAGACAATAGTGCGATCGCATTTCTTCTCGCACGAAAATTTCTTCAGAGATTGATTGTGGTTGTAATATGTAGCTAGAGCTACAATGAATGCGTCGCAGCTGCAAATTTAGATAACAAGGATGCACTGGAGAGAACAGTGTGCATACTTGGGAATTTATCCGAATATGTCCATAATGTGTCAGTTTTGATGATTCTAATTTAAAAAAAAGGAAAATGAAATCCATGCGCACTGAAATAACGTTTAGCCGTACTGGCACAGGCAAATCGTTGTTGATTGATCTCATGTAATCCATTTCCGATGGACACAATATCGATTAGAGCATTTCCTGTTCCAGAATGAACAATTTGCAAGGCGCAAGGTATCTTGTACAATTTTCATTTATTTCTTAGGACCTCATCTTTATTTGAACTCCTTGATATAGCACACGTGTTCGCAGATTGCTGAAATTTCTTTCTCCAGATATCATACTTACTTGCTCGACATCAAGATCCCTCCCAGTTAAAATTCATGCAAAACTCAGTCTTCCCTGGTCTTATTCTATCTTCTCTACGGTAGTTGTATCTACCTCGACTTCTGGTACAGAACGCTGCGACGGATACCCAACACCCGTACGCGAAAGCTTGAAATCGTTCCCACCAAAGATCAATGAAGAAAGCAACCTGAAAAGCTTGATCAAACAAGCTTGAGGTATCTGACGCCACCGAAATCGATATGGAAGCGCCTAAACTGCTTCGAGCCTACACACGGACAAATCGCAGGTCAATATAGTTTACAGTAAGCTGATGTCTCTCCCGTTTCTGTGACATCCACTACTGATTGACAGAAACGCAAAGCGGAACCTTGCATCTTTAGCAAGGACACTCTCATACAAATTATCGTGAACCTTGTCACACGTACCAATGACTTTATGCTATTTATAACGGCCTTCTCTCTGGTGTCCATTCATATCGTACCATCTTGGTGACTTGTCGCAGCACTACCTGGATTCAAGTCGATTCTCCAATCATTTACTACATCCCGCATACTACTACTCCAATAATGCGCTACATCGTTTTTTTTCTCATCGCTGCATTTTCGACGCTTGCATCTGCTTTTTCAGACGATTTATTAGATGGGTATAAACTCAGCTAAGACAACTGCGCAATTGAAGTGTTGAGAGAGCAGCCATATGCCTACTACTTCTCACGCCTCAACGCAGACGGATTAAGCTGGGAACTTCATATTGACCAATGCAGGTATTTGTACGGTATTCCATAATCGAGTTATTCATGGCTTGTTGCTAGTGTGGCGCATAGCAACGACATCAGGAATGAAACTAAGTCGTTATGGTATTGCAGTTTTGCTCAAGCGTCGTGAAGCGAACGGAGCATGTCCGAAGCTACGATGGATCACCCTTTACTTGCGAAGAATTGGGTTGTGACATGGGAGAGAAAGGTCGCGAGTATGACGGGTCGAATTCTTTAAGAGACTCCGAATCAACCAGTACATCAACAATTCACAGTAGACTCATACAAACTACTGAGTACAGTTTCTTGGACCATTATCCGGTAGTAAAATACAAGTGAGGTTAAAGTCAAGCCTTTGGGGGCTGTAAGGCTGGGTTTGACTTGAATCACGAGTCAGCAGTAGCATACTTACTTACTAGCGTGTCAGTCCTGTTGACACTCGCCCAGCCTCGACCCCACATTCCTTCACCACTAGCCTACGATCCCCCACAATTCATTCTCCAAACCAAGGGCAAAGTCTTTTGCGTATACGATGTTCACCGCCTATCTGCACTCCCGTTGGTTTCCGCACAAAAGCCTTGCGAGTGTGGATAGGGAAGCGCCGATGAAATCTTGGGTAAACGCAATAGACGAACGTGGACTCTAAATCGAGCCGCGAGCATTAAATGCGTGTTCCATCCCTGATATATCCATGTCAGCCAAAGTTTATGTGTAAGTACTTACGTCGGCTGACGGCGAAGGAGCTGACAACAAGGAAGGGTATTGTCTAGTGAAACGCTTCGATTACCATCGCAGTGAGCCCCCTTTTCTAGCTTCTTCTCGAAGCCTTCCGCATACCAGGGAACAGCTTCAATAAACTCCAAAACCAACAATATATTTTAGTGAGAACCATTTTCGCCACAGATCTGCTACACACTTATCAGCTAGCAAGATGAGGCTGGTTGTCGCGTCAGGGGAATTTAGGGCTGTCGCGTCATTGTCAGTTGCGACCCACTCCACCCGAGTGCGTGCGCAATGGGCAGGCTTGCGTATGCCCCGGACACTCCGCCGCGCTTGACTATTTTCTTACCAGAACAAGGGTCATTTCTCGGTCATTTAATGATAAGACACACCTAGTAAATGGATTGCGTTTGGATTTTCCCAATTGCGTGGCCACTTTTCTCTCCTTCTCAGTCTTTCCTTCGACTTTTTCTTCTCAACATGTTGCCGTCACCACCGCAATTGGGCAGACTCTTTAATTACTACACGTTGATTGCGCTGTGTATGATCGGATTGATCTACCATTTTCACCTGATTCAGAATCACCTTGGAGCTCATATTTCCGAAGTTCCGGCAATAATACCACACAACCCAAATGGAATCCCCAAACTGCTCTGGTACAAATTGGGTCCCAAGGGACTTTCTGAAAAGGCACGGAATTGGACCGACACTTGCATCAAGGGCAACCCTGAATATCGACCACACTTTATGACGGACGAGAGCGGCGATGAATACGTTCGCAAAACCTTTGCATTCCGTCCCGATATCGTCGACACGTACCTCGCATTCCCTATTCCTATATATAAGGCGGACATGCTACGCTATCTGTTACTTTGGGATCAAGGTGGCGTATGGTCGGATTTGGACGTCTCGTGCGAAGGTGTGCCTATGGACGAATGGGTACCACCTGAATACCAAGGAAAAGCTTCACTTGTAGTAGGATGGGAGTTTGATGCAGGCCACGACGAGCCCTACATGCGCCAGTTCTGCAGCTGGACTTTTATGGCTAAGCCACGGTTACCACACATGATGCAGGTTGTTGACGACATCCTTGCAGATGTACGAGCAAAGACTCTTCAGTATAACGTTCCGGTCGAAAACATCACACTGGATATGATGGGAGATGTTGTTGATTTCTCGGGTCCCCGACGCTTAACGACTGGTACCTTTAGGAGTTTGGCGAAGCGACTCAACAGGACCCTTGATGTAACCGAAACATATAACATTTTGGAGCCGCGACTCTTCGAGGATGTCTTAATATTACCAGCACATTCATTCTCGCCGCTCACAAACAGGTATACACCGGAGGAAAAGTTGATCCTGCCACCGCAACTGGTGACCCATCACTATTCTGGGAGTTGGAAGAACGACAAGGGGGGTGAGCAGAAGCGTAGAAGATGAGCCATTGAATATACTTGGAAGACTTTCATATATGGCGACTGGTCGCCATATCCTGCATGTATTCGATGCCCGAATGTCAGACCGTCCCGTCTAGGCTGTGTGATCAGCACGATTCACACAAGCAATGAAATCCAGTGTGGCCAGCACTTCCATTTGAGGGTCAATACTTTCGTGTGTGAGAAATTGAATAGCAGGGGAATAAGTATTGGGCCAGAGAAAAGAGGGTGCGCTACAGGCGAAGGGCGGCGGGATAGGCATGCTTTCGTGGGACATGTGCTACGTGAAGTTACACAGATGCCAAGAGGTTCATAGTCAGTTCGAAGGATGGAATATTTTGGAAACAACAAGGCGGGGGTGTATTGGGAGGAATTGCGTCTTCTTGAATTACCACGACGTTGTGGCTAGTAACGTCAAATGTCTACGTCATGAGTCGCTCAACCACATGGCGACCCACCTCAAGAGCGTAACCCTTCCAACGCAACACTATCAAAACCTCAACATCACCCAGGATATCAGTTCTGGGATAATAAACAATCGTCATGGAGCATTTCGCCCCTCATCCATCCTCGCAATTCGAAGGCTACTATTCCAAGTTCGACCTTCCATCCGGCTCTCACATCGCCTTAATCATCTGCTCAGTCCCCAACGCGCCCTCACGCCCACACATGGTGTCCTTCACCTACTACCCCTCAACCGGACGCCCCATTTTCCAGCGCGAGCACTTCATCCCGGAAATCAAGCGCATAACTACCGACCCAAAAGGCAAATCATTCGAGCTCCAAGTACCAGGCATGGGCACCATGACCACCACCAGCAACGGCCTCACAAGCTACAACCTCTCCGCTGAAGACGGCAGCTGGACCCTCAAAGCCCAATGTACAGAATACACGGCCTGGCGATCAGACAAAAGCACACCAGAGGGCTGGATGATCCACCTCCCCTTTCCATTGCACTGGCACGTCCATTCCCTCTGCTCCCCAACCACCCTCTCCCTCTCCATCCCCGCACTCGGCACAGATTTCCCCTCCGCAGACGCGCACACCAGCGCGACCATCCACCAAGAAAAAAACTGGGCCAATAGCTTCCCCGACGCACACATGTGGGTGCAGGCCTGGGACAACGACGCAAAACGCGGTGTGTCTCTTGCGGGCGGCAAGATCCTATACAACACTGCTTTCCTCCTCGGCTATCGCTCTCCAGACTTGGACTTGGATTTCGTGCCACCCTTCTCGGTCGCGTATTTGAATCTCTTCTCGCCGTTTATGAGCGTGGCGAATGATTGGGAGGACCGCTCTTTTTCCATTTCAGTCAGTAATTACATGTACAAGTTGGACTTGAAGGCGCATGCGCCAAAAGAATATGGGTGGTTTGGTCTCGCGAGTCCGTTTCCTGATGGGCACCGCGCGAATTTTTGCAAGGAGAGCTTTTTAGCGACGATTGAAGTGAGGATTTCGGAGCGGCAGGGGTGGTGGCCGTGGAGTAGCTGGAAAGATTTGAAGAAGGAGAGGTGGGAGGGGGCGAGTTTAGAGTTTGCAGGAGGGTATTATCCTGAGAGGGGGGAGAGTAAGGAAGATTGAAGTTTTGGAAGGGGAAAACGAGAAAAGATTGTGCAGTAACTATTTATAATTCCAGATCCACATACTGATAGGTTACAACTTGGATGCTTTCTTCTCTCTTGGCTTGATGAGCGTATCCAACTCCTCGAAAAATCGCTTGGGCAATACACTCCTCTCGATACCCTGTTTGCCCTCCCATTCTTCTTCTGTCTTACGCTCCCAGTCCCAGTACCTCTTCATTTCCTTGCCCACCCATTTGCTAATGTGGTCTGCACTCTCTCCGACCTTTTCCATAGGAATCAAATGTCCGGCTCCTTTGACCGTGACATTGTCTACAAGACCCTCTGCACGGCCCCCGCTACCGTTCACGCCTGAACCCGTCATTTGCATCTTCTCCTCAATGACGGCGTCGTCAGTTAGGAAAGAGAGTTCGCCAAAGATGTAGAAGCAGGATGGGCGGAGCGAGGGTAGTTGGTTGAAGACGATTGTGCTCTCGCCGCGGTAAAAGGGTGTTTGAGGCTCCTCGTACGGCGTCATGTCTGCGTGCGTTCTCCTGTTCAGCTTTGGGTTGCTGAGGGTGAAATCTGCAGATGAGGGCTCCTTGTCTCCTGGTCTTGCGGTGAAGTTTGCGCGGAGAAATGTCAGGACTTCTTGATGCTTGGTTGTTGTGAGGGTAACTTCAGGCTTCTTTGCGTCGGGAAACAGTTTTGTCGGTACGTCTCTTAGTCCATTCTGCACCCAGCGATCCAGCACGCGCGGATCCCAAGCTTGGTAGAATTTGCTCTTTGCGAAACTCTTTGCTGCGTCTTCCCGTGATGGCCAGAGCTCTCGGCGCCTTGCTGATGCGGCTGCGGGTGAAATGTTGCCGTTGAGAGAAACTTTTCCTTGGATGACGGGGTCAATGAGAACAAGTGTCTCAAAGAGCCTCGGATGGAGAAGAGCAAGATTTGCGAGCTGGCAGCCGCCCATGCTGTGGCCCACACCAACAATAGGACGGGGCATTTGATCGCGGAAGTGGTTGACCATGTGGAGCAGATCTCTGCTGTGGTCCAACCATGCAGCTGTTCAAAATTAGCTTTTTGGTTTGCACAGTCATTTGAGTTTGCATACGGTCATTGCCCAGTTTACCCTCATTCAGCACACCACTCCAGCCCTGGTGCACAACATCTGCTATCCAGATTCCCCGGATACCAAAGCCGTGCTGCTCGCATCGCTTGAGTAGCTCATCCCACAGCGGCTCGTACAGTTCTTTTGGAAAGCCATTGGCATGCGCGGCAATGATGGTAATGTCACCAGGCTTGGGGCTTTTGTTGCTGAGTGGCGTATATTGCTTGACAGCCAAATGTAGTACTTCCTCTTGTTTTGTTGCCGTTGACCGGGGAAATCCACGGATATGCGAAGCTGGTACCTTGTGTTCGTCTATCCGGAAGTAGGTTGAAGACATGGTTAGATAAGGGGTTATCCGGCGCGACCGTGGTCTGCTCCCGTGGACAATGATGTGGAAGAGAAGTTATTTGTGAAGAAAGTGGATACGGGCGCGATCAAAGTAGATAGATGGATGATCGTAAGTGCCGAGAAGAAGATAAAAGCAAGCGTAGGTTGATGCTCCAGGTGTCGTGACGAGTTGCCGGCATAATCTGGGGAAGACTGCCGAGGTCCATTCTGAACGCGGCGACTCAGTACTGCCCGAGTAAACCAGTAGATTTACAGACCAATCAGCTAGCCGGAATCTCTGTAGACCCTTGAAGGAGTGATTCTAAGAGCGGCCAGTAAGAAAAGGGATATTCATGCCTCCACGCACCTGGTCATCCCATACATGTGACGGAATCGAAGTGGAAGTGTTTGGGTGGGGTATCACGTGACACATGTCGCGTTCGCGCTGCACCGATACGCGCCGCAAGTCGCGCCTGGTGGGAGAATAACGGTAGTTCTGCATTCTCCCCACAACGGCACACCACGGTCAATCGTCACAATGGAGGACACCACTATGCAGGATAGCTCTCCAGGGTTGTTTGCAGATCTCAGTTTCACCATATGTCCCAATGGTATATCCGAAGACCGTATACAAGAGGTATGCGACGCGTTGCGACTTGAGTTTGAGACAGCCATATTGATAGACAGTGCAGATTGAACATGCCATTACTGGCGCACATGGGACGATCGTGCCCTTTGAAGCCCCCAAGGGTCGCATAGATAATCTTCAAGAAATCAACTACATCATTTCGGAGACAGCCGACTTCCCAGACTACTACCGTGCCCTCGATCTCATGGTACATGTCATCAGACCAGCATGGGTAGACGCGTCCCTCCAGGCCATGAAGACCAAGAACCCGCGGACCTACAGCCCAGACCCAGCCCTCTTCATGAACGACGTCGTCATATGTTGCGGCGACATACCCAGCGGAGACAAAGAGGCTATTGAAGGCGGCGTGCTGGCAATGGGCGGGCAAATTGCACCCAGCTTGTCCAAGTTGGTGACGCATCTTATTGCGCTGGATATCAGCGAGCCACGGTGCCAGTTGGCGATTAGCAAGCGCCTGCAGCTTACGATTGTGCTACCCCACTGGTGAGACTTGCATTGTGGACATGGGGTACGGCTATCGCTGACATTCCCAGGTTCGATGACTGTCTGAAGGTTGGGCGGAGAATATCAGAACGCCCCTACACGCTCCCAAATCCCGAGATCCTCGCCGACGTTGAACCAGGCGCAATACCTCCAACGCGAACAAGCCAGCAGATTCGAGATGCCACCACGCCAGACCCGCAGAATGAACCTGTGCCGCCCCCACCTCACCTCGAACCCCCGCGTGCGATCAAAGCCTTTGAAGGGAAAAGCGTCAAGCTTGGAGAGGACCTAGATATCAGCACTAAGCTCAGAGGCATCATAACAGGCATGATCAAGGCTGGTGGCGGCAGCGTGACGTCCAAAATAGACGAGGCGGACATGTACGTGTGCAACTACCGGGAAGGTACCGACTATGTCAAGGCTTCGCAAGCACGGAAAGATGTTGGAAACCTCGGCTGGTTATATTATCTCATCACTCACGGCATCTGGACAAATCCAATGCAGCGAATGATGCACTATCCACGTCCACGTCAAGGCATTCCAGGCTTCGACCAGTACAAGATTAGCATATCGAGCTATACGGGCGAAGCACGCGTTTACCTAGAGAACTTGATCAAAGCGACTGGCGCAGAATTCACAAAGACCTTCAAACAGGACAACACACATCTTATTGCTGCACACAAGAACAGTGAAAAGTGCGAGGCAGCAACGGAATGGGGTGTGAACATTGTCAACCATCTTTGGCTCGAAGACAGCTACGCCAAATGCCGAGAGATGCCACTGACGGACAATCGCTACACATACTTTCCAGCGCGAACAAACCTCGGAGAGGTCTTGGGCCAGACCGAGATAGACCGTGAGGCCACTGAGAAGGCATTCTTCTCCAAGCAAACGAAGCCTACTAAGGCCGCAAAAGTAGCGCCCCCAATCAATAATGCCCCAGCGTCCAATGTTGCACCAAGAGTAAGCGAGCCTCCACCGGCACGCAGCCCGCCTGCGGCTGAGAAGGCTAAGCGTGCCAAATCAGGAGGTATTGTGCAAACCCCAGCGCCTGCACGACAAACAGATGGAAAGGAAAATCATACACCAGGCAGCCGTGGTGCCAAAGACCGGGCACTGTCAAAGCTACACGATGCCGCCCCGGATATTGCCCAATTTGAAAAAGAAATGAAGCGTAAGGGTGGCGTCATACATGGCGGACGTCGACGAGCAGAAGATGAGACTGAGGAACAAACAAAACAGACAAAAAGTGGCCGTGATTCTGTGTCGAGTAAGCGTTCTTTTGACAAAGTCGACGAAGACGAAGAAGACGAAGAGACAGAGGAGGAAACCACAGATGTCCCAACGAAGAATAAGCGAGCAAAGAAGGAGAAGCTTACCCCCATCAAGTTCCGCATGTTGATCTCAAAAGACGAACGATGGACCAACAATCCAGACAAAGAATCCAAAGACAAGGCACGTCTACGCGAACTGGGTCTCTTCATTACCGACGACTTCAAGAAAGTAGACCTCGTCTGCGCCCCGCATCCAGTCCGAACGAAGAAATTTATCGCCTCGCTCGCCTGCGCACCCACTCTCGTCTCAACGAGTTACCTCGACTACGCCCTCAAGCACAGCAAGCTTCCCCCAATCGACAAGCACCTTCTCCAAGACAGGGATTTTGAAAAAGCAAACAACTTCAAACTCTCCGAAGCCCTCGACCGGGCAAAGCAAAACCGCCATCGTCTCCTCAAAGATTGGACCATCTTTTGCACCGAAAAAGTCGCGGGTGGGTTCGATACTTACAAAGATATCATCGAAGTCAACGGTGGCAAATGCTCGCTTTGGAGAGGTCGTCCAACTACTGTCTCGGCTTCCAAACGCATTCTTAATACCTCGGATAAGGAAGTTAGTCAGAACCAAGTCGAGGATGAGGGCGATGTGCTATATCTGATTTCCGACGCTGACAAGCGGGAATTCACAAATTGGAATAAATTTAGGGAGTTGGCCAAGAAGCACGACATGATTCCTCGCATTGTCAAGACGGAGTGGCTGCTGAGTGTTGCTATGGCGCAGTATGTACATTGGGATCCGCAGTGGGAGCTTAGTGAGGAGAGTGTGAGGGCTACGGCCAAGAAGTGAGAGTTGTTCGTATCTCTTTTGTTTTTTTCTTACGTCGCGAACTAAGTGCGCGTTTTCCGCACATGTAGCGTTGAAGCAAAGCGATGGGCGTCATGGGTAAATCTTCTGTCTTGATAGCGATGCGGAAAAGCGGGAAGGACGGGAGCGGAAGGGCTGCTCATGCAAGAGTATGTGTATAATTAGATGGATGGCATGATGGATGTGGTGAAATACCAAGCACCTCTGTACACGTAACTCTTTTTCTTTTTCTTTTCATCCAAATGTGACGTGTTTCTCTTTCTCTACTAAGATGGCCCAAGCAGAAAAACAATGGGAGGACGCGTACTTGTATGTCTGTAGATGCAAATAGAGATCGCCACGTACGCATCCAATCGTTGCCTATCGGAGGTAGAAAAGATCCAAATATAGCAATGGTAATGCTGCAGAGTGTACTGTTTAGTGCTTACGTTGGAGCGAGTAGTCAGAGGAGTTCGACTGGAGTTTTTGTAGAGTCTTGAGTACATGACTAAATCAAACGTGTGTTTTGGGGGCCGAAATAGGTCACAAGACCAGCGGCGAGGAAAACACACATACCTAGTTACACTGCGAAAGCGAAGCTAGATACATTGGGTCGAATACACGGCAGATGGATTTTCTGAATGTGAAGATGGAATTGTTTATGATGAAGCGTATACACAAAATGATAAAGACTAAGATTATTTTTTTTATCTAGTCTAGAGAGAGACTATCACCACCAGCCAAGGATCCCAAAGCCATGAAATTTTGGGTAAAAGAAGAACAAGAAAAAAGGGTATATCGATATCGCACCAATCCACCAAAAGCCAAATCTCAAGCATCCAAAAGAAAAGAAAAACTCCCTCTCACAACCCCTTCCCTCCCTACCCCTTCCCTACTCTCCTCTATGCAGCCGTATGCACAATCCTGGGCACCTCCGGCATCTCCCCAATATCAGCCCTCTCATAATACCTCGACCTTGTCGACGCCGTACTCGTACTCCTCGGGCGACCCACACTCCTCAGTGCAGCATCCGCATCCTCACCCTGCACGACCGGACTCAATAGCACCGAACCCTGCGATGCTCTACTACTAACCGCACTAACACTGCTTCCGACACTGACGGCACGATCAGTAGTCACAGCACGCCCGGGACCCGCATGAAGGTCTGCAATTGGATCATGGTGCTCCTCCACGGGGGTAATGTGCAGGGGGACGAGACGCATAGTATCGGTGCTTGCGCGCTTTCTGCGGTCGTCGGCGTCGGAGTCGACGTAGAGGGTTACGCTGCTGGCGCGGTCGCGGCTGAACATGTTTGCCTTGTCTTTGTCAGGGAGGAGGGCGGCGGCGTCGGGTTTTTGTGCGGCGAGCTTTTTTGTCTGGCGGCGCCGGCAGAGGAAGAGGGCGAGGGCGCCGGCGAGGAGGAGGACGCAGATTATGATGAAGATTGTGGTGGAGATTATGTTTGCTTTTGTCCAGTAGGTTGTTTGTGGGTGGGATTTTAGAGAGCCCGTGGGGGTGGGGGAGGGGGCTTCTGGGGTTAAGTCTGCTGGGGTAGGAGCCATCGTGATGAGGTGTTTTGGATGAAGTGCGTTCAGTGAGGGTTGAGCTGTAGTCGAGATTGCTGGGATGGACTTGTGAAGTGTGGGAGGAGGATTTAAGGTAAAAGATATACAATGGTAGTTTATGCTCCAATGGTCTGAACCAGGAATAGTGGCAGTGTCGTTTTGATGGTAGAGAAACCTTAACTGGCCTGGTCCCAGTTACCGGGCACCAGGCAGACATATATCTGCCCATTAAATGAAACATATTGTGCATAGACGCAGTTCAGATCTCAAGACCGATGGCGCCGAATCGGCGAAAAGGCGTCCACTACGTGGTCTCGTTCGTCACAGAAGCAACAAGATGCTCAGCCTCAGCACGTGTGGGGAAAACTAGGCCCTCCATCTTGGAAAAGGTCACTGCGCCCTTCGGTAGAGGGATGAAACGAAGATGCCTGGCGAATGATAGGCCGTGAAGAAGAGCCGTCAAAGCTATGGCTGCACCCGGTCAAGTAGGGAGATACTGGGAAAGGATTGCGGAGCAAATGGCGGTGGCACAGGGTGGTAGACTGGGTGTGCTAAACATGCGTCTAGGGGGGCGCCATGATCGAGCCATACACACCGACATGCTGCGAGTCGACTTGGGGTCTCCTCACACGTGCGGACAAAAAAGGTTTGCGGCCTTACTGCATTCACGCGTGCAGCTGAGAGTATGAGCTCAGCTGGTGGAACTGCCAACATTAGATGGCTGATGTCGCCAGCACTTGCCCAACACGTCACTTTGCGCTGACCAAAACTGTCAAACAACCCCCAAAACCTCTACAACATGAGAAAGACTGCATATGTTCAAACAAACATGCGGCTTAAACTAAGGTGTGTTGTAGGATGTTAGTTTCGGAGGTTAGGCCAACACGGCCACCAGCGCTAGGAGAAATGAGCGGAAACAAACCACGATTTGGCGGGCACAAGGCTGAACGCTGCTGGTCCCTCCTCTTTGTTGCTTCTGCAAGTCTGCCTAGACCAAACCAAAAGTAGGGAGTGGAGGGGAATGTGCGCAAATTTGCCAGAGACGGAGGCCTCATTCTGAGTATTTTGCGGTAAGCCACAAAGCCATGATGCGAGGGGTGGAGGCTCCCGCTGCGGCGCCACGCTGTTAATATGGTACAGTTACTTGCAGGAGAGGGGCTGGAAGACCAATCGAAGACCAAGAATTGCCGGCCAGAGGCTTGTAGGAATGAGACAACTCATCAGATGCGGCGTGGCGAGTTGTGAGAGCAAAGAATGTCACCCACTAACCAGCAGGCGTGGTGTTGAAGTGGTGATGTGGGTCGTCCGATAACGGGGAAGGGTCATGCATAGTTTGGACCCCAAAATCTGCTCTTGCCTGTCTACTAGCGCCCTCGCTAATGTGGTTATGCTATTTCTGGCTTCGCGGAAAAACAGCTGCGCCACAAGACCAAGTCACAGAGTCGTCTGTGCAAGAACGGTAAAAGCCGCATACACCTGCCTGCGAATGAGAAGCTTGCTTGGAGACTTCCGCGTACATCTTACCTCATGTTGCATATTCCTAACAAGCTTGTCTTGTAGCCATAGCAACATGTGGTGTAAGGTTTCTTGTTGATTCAACTAAACACTGAACCTACCAAGAATCACGCACATGACATGTACTTGATATGCAAGAAATCCCAAAAAAAACATATCACCGCAGGGATGTTCCCTGGTTTCTTTGGACTTGTGTACATGATATTGAAATTCACTAATTTATTAAGCCACATGGAAGCTGTGTAACCCACATGGACACCACACCATTCATACATACATACTAAAGAAAGAATCAGGTTATTCAAATTGAAAAAAAAAAGAATCACAGCAAGGCAGATTCTACACAAATCCTCCATTAAAAAAAATCCTCTCATCTATCAATATAACACTACTTGAACTATTTTACTCCCATTCCGCATCTACCGTATCGAAAATGTTACTCTTCGGAGAAAGGAATGGCATACTACACCCTAACATCAATACTAACATAACTAATAACTCTGATTATTGTCACCGCATCAAAGAGCGCCATCTACCCCGTATTCTCCCGTCCCCAAAACCCAGCTCGTTTAAGCCCAAAAACCATACGTATTATCCGACCTGAACATTCAACCTTAAATTCCACATTTACTTCACCAATATCCAACCTCTCACTCTCCTCTACTTCTACTCCCTTCCCACCCTCGGTCTTCAACTCTCAACCCCCCCGCACCGTCATCATCATATGGCCGCCTCCATAATAAACACCCTTTGAACAGCCTCCCTGTTTAGCAAAATCCTTCGTATTAATCCTCCCCTCCTTCCCTAAAAAAATAGTTTTTTTAAATTGACCATTATGCAGTCAGCGTAATGGTTGCACACCCATCGGACAAAAAACAAAGGTGAGCAGGAAGGCTAGATGTGAGGACGGTGCTGTTCGTTGCAAGATATTCATTTCAAGTTAAATAAAGTGTGGTGAGGCCCCCCCCTCATGAAGCTTTATGCTACGGAAAATGCCCTTCTCCAATGGAAAAACCCCCCTCGTTTCCTTTGTGTACATCTCAATCGAATAAAAAGAGAACCAAATACAAACAGCTCGTTTTTGCAAGCTGATGGATGAATAAAGCGCCGGTCCCAATGCATATTCGAACCTAGAAGGCCCAAAAAAAAAGAGAGGCACGTATGCCAAATCCTCATCAAAAATCTCTCTCTAAACCAATCCTGGTTTTTTTCTCTTGGGTATTTGTAAACGCATGACGCTCATTCAAGCGAAAGGTTTTCTCTCTTCCAGTTTTCGTGTAGTACAGCAATGGTGCTAGCGGCGTCTTTGCAACGCGGAGGGGCACGGGCTGGGAGGTCGATGACAGCACGACGTAGCACAGCGCGAGCAGGGACGCCGTAGAACTGGATAAACTTTTTGTAGTAGTCGCGGATCAGGCCGCTGAGGATGGCGAAATGGCCAGGCCAGAGCTGGTCGGGTGGAGTGTTGCAAATGGAAACAATCGCTCTCCAGTACTCTGATGTGGCTATCGCAGGGGTCTTTGATGCAAATGAGCGGAGAGACATGGACGCATAACCAGCGCCAATACCGCGCATACGCTGAGAGTATGATTCTGGGGTAGAGTCTGGTCTCCATCCTAACCGTAGCCGACCTTCCTTTGTATCCATGGTGCCACGAATACCGAATAGGGGTGGGCAGGCCTTGTGGAACTTGGCTAGGGCAATATCGGTAAGTGGGAGGCCGTTCCACATGTACTTTTGATCACCAAACAGACTGGCTGCAATTAAGCCAATCTCTTGGATGATACGGCCATCGGTGTTTGCTGCCTCCTTTTCGAATTGTTTGACAAGGAACTTTTCAAAGCAGATCCAGACGTAAAGTAGGAAGGCAGGGTATGCGGCGTCGTTTTCGTTGGCTAGTTGCGGGATCTGGTGCGAAACGATATATGGGCGGATATCAATCATGGGCCCTGGTGTTGCCAAGGCGACGTCAAAGCACTCTGTTCGAAGCCGCTTGATGGCGGCGGCGCTGTCTTTGCGCTCAACGTTGATCTGACCAAGTCGAGTGCGGAGGGCGCGCCGAGCGTCACCAACTGGACCCTTGAGGGGTGAGGATGGTTTTTTATGTTCCTCCCAGAACGACTTGCGGAACTCCTTCATGCGCTGGTGGAGCTGGAGGTATTGGTTGTGCAATTGCTCGAAATTGCTGGCTGGCGCTGGCGCACTGGTCGCCGGCTTGGGCGCAGCTACTTGAGCAGGTGTGGCAGCGGGCTGTGGTGTTGGTTGTTGTGGAGCTTGCTGGTGAGCTCTTTCAGCAGCAGCAGCGGCCTCGGCAGCTTTTCGATCGGCCTCTGCTTTTTCTTTTTGCTGCCTTTCAGCTGCAGCCTCTTGCTCCCGCTGGGCCCTGATCCTTGCCTCTGCCTCCTGAAGCTTCTTTTGGTGCTCAGCAGCCTGGCGAGCAGCTTCCTCTTCGCGCTGCTTTGCTTCGAGAGCTCTCCGATGCGCCTGTTCCTCTTCGCGAGCCTTTTGCTCGCGCAGCCGCTCAATCTCCCTCCGCTGGTTTTCCTCGTGGCGGAGACGAGCCTGTTCTTCTTCCAAGGCCAGTCGCTCAATCTCTAGCTTTGCGGTGCGAAAGACGCGCTCGTGTTCCTCGGCCGCGTAGGCCAGTTGTTCGGCGTGTCGCTTCGCCCGCTCGGCTGCATCTTGGTCGAGCTTTTCGTTAAACTGGCTGTCCGAGATACTAAGTCGGAGGTTGAACTCTAGGGCAAGTTTCCGATTCGGACTTTCATAGGGGTCACGGACAAGGGATTCGCGGTGAGGGCGCAGGCTGCTTCGGTTCGGCGATAGGCGTGTCGGGGAAGCATCCAGGAAACTCGAACCGAACGAAGTGGCAGTGTGCATGCTAGAAGACGATGTACCCGATCTGGTGGGCATTGTGGCGACGTGGAGGAGGGGTCGGGCAGGGCAGGGCGATTGGGAAAAGGGTGGTTGGTGAAAAGAGGTGAAAGCGGTCGGTTGGACGCTAGTAGTTTGGCTGTACACTTCAGCACCGGAGTCACGTGAGCGCGCATATGTCTCCGCACATCCCTGTCGCAGCTGTCACCGCGTTGGCGACACGTTCTTTGTCTGTTCGGTGCTGCCACCGTGGACAGCAGCAACGCCTGGCCGCAGCGAGCCATGGCCTGGGACATTTTTTATTTATTTATTTATATATCGATTCACGTATACGCTGATGGATGCATTGACATGCAGGTACATGGGCACAGATATTTGAGTTTGTTGCTGTTAGGTATATGCACGTATACGTGCATGTTCTGCCGCTAGCCTGGTGTTGGCTGGGGCGGTCGAGTCGGTGCCACCTCGATCACGTCGGACAGCTCGATCGTCTCCGTCTGTCGCTATCGAGCGACGAGTGAGTGAGATGAGAGGGGGGGCTCAGGGATCCTTACATGAGTCGTGCCGTTGACAAACAAGTGTATCGGAATTTCATAAACTTCATCAGA